ATTGGAGGAAAATATATATTCATGCACACTGTAAAAAGGCTGCAGCCATCTTCACAGGTTTGGCTTGCTCCAGCGCCCCCCTATCGCCCCCTTCTGCTCCAGTGCCCCCACGCCACCCCTTTTCGTTCTACTGCCCCCCTGAAAAATGAAAATGCCCCCTGGGGGGCATTATCGCCCACGTTAAGAACCACTGGTCTAGAACTCTAGATCATACAGCTCAACCGGAGCAATTGTTCTAGGTATGAAAAGTTATTTTCCCCTTTTTATTCATCAAGCAGAGAAAATAAGCATCATAAAGAGTGTGTGATAGTGAAACAAAGAGCCCCAAATAACTCAAATAATTCAAAACACCCCAGCTCATGTGCACTTATTGCAGAAAAATAGTCTTTCTTAGAAATATATTGCAACAAAATGCAAGTAATTTAGTGTAACTACTCTCGTTGCATTTCAGATGTAACTATTTTTATTTGAAGATCTAGACGCTTAAGCCAGAAGTTTTGATGGTTGGGCATGTCTCTCTGGACTGTTGTAATAAGTTTTTTTGTATCAAAATGCAGCATTGCACCACTGGGACTTCTAGGCTGTGACCAAGAGACCAATTTCTGTACTTTTTAAAAGTCCCCTCTCCTATGTTGCAGTGGGAGGGGAGGAAGCCATGAGTTTGTTCCCTTATTCTTTATACCAGCTGTACTTCTTCCTTTACTGTAACAAGCTGAAATGGAGGATAGTGTGAAGGACAAAATCAGGAGAATTGACGCGAGAAGACTCAGCTATTTTATCTCTCCATACTTTGGAAGTGGGCATGAGATGGACAACATGGATCTGAAGCCTATAGCCAGCTACGTTTATGTCAGAGCTCTCTAAAGTCTCCTCACGTTGTCACCAGCAGCAGCCATTCCAACAGGCTACAAGTAGAAAGAGACAGGTGAAAATGTCCACTTTTCCATCAGCCTTGCTGAAAGGCTTTTTGCTGTATTTCCCCCTGCCTGCTTTTCCTCCCTTCCTATTCTTTGTTATCTTTTGTGTCTATTTCTATTTTTAGATTGTAAGCCTGCAGGCAGGTGATGCCTTTTACTGATTGTATGTAAGCCTTTCAGGAAGCTTTTTTGACTGAGGAGCAGAATAAAGAAAATACTTTAAATATTTAAATAAATAAGACAGACATCAGGACCCTGGTAATTATGGGTACTTTTTAAAAAAAGCCTTTTATAGCATATTACATTTAAAGGAGTGCGAAGTGGACTATAGAGCTTTTAAAAGAGGAATAGTGTGGATTTTTCCTCTTTCTCATAATGCTAGAACATGGAGCACTTTAGGAGTAAGAAAACTGAAAACTTCATCAGCACATAATTCATTTCTACACTTCCACTAGCGGTGATAGCAGCATGTGTTGATTACTTCAAAAATGTTTGGAAAAATGCATGGATGGGTCTTCAAAGATTAGTTGGATAGTTCAGTGAGTCAGAGTACCTGGTTGTAGAGGCAGGGGTTGGGAACGTGATTCTCCACTGAGCTTTCCAAGAGAAAAGCTAGCCTATGTGCCTTGGGCAAGTTGGACAGCCCCAGACCCCCAGAAAGGAACTGGTAAACCAATTCTGAGTACTCTGTATTTAGGAAATCCCGACAAGAGTCACCATAAGTCAGAATTAACTTGATGGGCACCTATTACATCTTCCACATTATTGCTTATGATCGTTGAATGAAATGTTTATACAGGCAGTGGACTACAGGTAAAAATTAGGTTGGCCATTGCTTTCGTGATCCAGTTGTGAGCTTCTAGAAACACCTATTTGATAGTTCTTGAAAATAGAATTTTGTATTAGTTAGAACTTGAACTAATGTGGAAGACCACCTCTTGGAAGTAGCTGTTTACAAATAGCAGTACAAATAACAGCAACTTAGTTAGGCATCCTTCAGTCTCGAGAGACTATGGTAACGTCCTCTGTATGGAGGACTTGGAACAGCATCTAGTGTGGCTGAGAAGGCCACAATTCGAGAATGACAATCCCTTCCACACTGAAGACAAATACAATCTGTCCCTTGTCCAGCTCCTGATTTTGCTGGTTTTGGGACTGCCACTTTGCCTCGGCCTGCTGGACAAGTGTCTCTTCAAAATGGGAGAGGCCATGATGCACTGCCTGCCTCCAGGCTGAAAGCACAGATGTCAAGGTTTCGCATCTGTTGAGGTCCATTCCTAATGCCTTCAGATCCCACTTGCAGATACCCTTGTATCGTAACTGTGGTCTCCCTCTGGGGCGATTTCCTTGCATTAATTCTCCATACAGGAGATCTTTAGGAATCTAATCATCAGCCATTCTCACGACATGTGCAAGCCAACGTAGACGTCGCTGTTTCAGTAATGTATACATGCTAAAAATTCCAGCTTGTTCTAGAACTACTCTATTGGAACTTTGTCCTGCCAGGTGATACCAAAAATGCATTGGAGATGACGCATATGGAATGTGTCCAGCTTCCTCTCCTGTTGTGCACAAAGGGTCCAGGACTCACTGCAATACAGGAATGTGCTCAGGACACAGGCTCTATAGCCCTGGATCTTGGTATATGCCGTCAGCTTCTTATTAAGCCATACTCTCTTTGTGAGTTTAGAGAACATGGAAGCTGCTTTGCCAATGCGTTTATCCAGCTCGACATCTAGGGAGAGAGTGTCAGAGATCATTGAGCCAAGGTACACAAAGTCATGAACAACCTCCAACTCTTGTGTGGAGATGATAACAGAGGGAGGTGAGTCCACACCCTGGCCCATGACGTGTTTCCTTAAGGCTGATTGTTAGTCCAAAGTCTTGGCAGGCCTTGCTAAAGTGATTCATGAGTTGTTGGAGGTTTTCAGCAGAATGGACAACAGCAGCTGCATCATTGGCAAAGAGGAAGTCCCGCATGCATTTCAGCTGGACTTTGATCTTCGCTCTCAATCTAGAGATATTAAAAGAGCTTTCCATTGAATCTAGTCTGGAGATGGACACCTTCTGTTGCAGTTCCAAAGGTGTGCTTCAGCATGACAGCAAAAAAGATGCCAAACAGGGTCGGCACGAGGACACAGCCCTGGTTCACTCCGCTTCAGATGTCAAAGGGCTGTTGAGCCATCAAAAACTACAGTGCCCTTCATTTCCTCATGAAAGGGCCTGATGATGTTAAGGAGCCGAGATGAACATCCAGTCTTGGGAAGTATTTTTAAAAGGCCGTCCCTGCTAACCAAATCAAAGGCCTTTGTGAGATCTATGAAGGCTACAAAGAATGGTTGTTGTTGTTCCCTACATTTCTCCTGCAACTGTCTGAGGGAGAATACCATGTCAGTGGTGGATCTATTAGCTCAAAGTCGACACTGTGATTCTGGATAGACTCTACAAGCACCTGGAGTCTCTTCAGCACAACATGGGCAAGCAGCTTTCCTACAACGCTGAGAAGAGAGATGCCATGGTAGTTATTGCAATTGCCCCTTTCACCTTTGTTCTTGTACAATGTGATGATGTTTGCATCCTTCATGTCCTGTGGTACTCCACCTTCCCTCCAGGAAACAAAAGATTTAATACAGCTCAGTGGTGATGGTCTCTTTACAGCACTACAGTAGAGATGTTATCCTTCCCAGGTGCCTTGCCAGAGGCAAGGGAATCCAAGACCGCTTTTATTTCTGCGAACAGGGGACTTATAATTGCTTATTTATAATTAATTCTTTTTTTACAGTAGCTTTTATATCCCACCCATCTAGTCATTGGCTACTCTAGGCGGCTAATAGCAAGTAAAATAAAACAACTTAAAATGTATCAGCAATATACGGCAACAATAATCAATTATTCAAGATGAAGAAAAGAGAAGAAATAAATCAAGAAGTGCCTGGACGGAAGGCCTGCCTAAACAGCCAGGTTTTCAGTCGACTTTTAAAAATACCAGCGAACGGGCCATGCGGATCTCAGGAGGGAGGTTATTCCAAAGACGAGGAGCCACTGCCGAGACGGACTGGTTTCTTGTTTTTTCCTTCCGGGCCTCCCTCGGTGTTAGGCTCCTCAATCGCACCTTCCGGCTAGATCGAGTGATACGGGTAGATTTTGGTGGGAGAAGGCATTCTGCCAGATATCTAAGTTACAATTGTAAGTTAAGGGATCACGTCATTCTTTTTGTAGTCCTTCAATAAAACAAGGGGGTAAAGAGTTAAATTTTGAAGGTGTAACTATAATGTTAGCTAACTACTTTGTATTTGTACCTGTAACTAATTGTTTCCAAAGTATTTTTCTAGGCTCTAAAAAGGCAATTAATGTCATTCTTTCCATCCTGGATATTCTGTTTTGATCTTCATCTCTGCATAAAGTCTCATGATCATTTCATAATATCTGCACTTGACTTACTAGCAGGGGCTGATGGAAATATAATTTAAAACATCTGGTTTATACCAGGTTGGGTAAGTTAGAGTTGTGTTTATGTTACGTTATGTTGCATTGCATTATGCTTTTGAATATGCAAGCATTTTCTAATAGCTCCACCTAAGGGACAGAATAGTAAACATATTTTAATAGCATCTTATCTATTTAGGGTCATGAAATTTCAACATCCTTACAAAACCAGAGACACCGGGTTCGCTATTCAGATTCAGTAGAAGATGGATCTATTATCTTTTCTGTTTCTGGTACAGTATCTTCAATTCTGGCAAGGCAGACAGACATGTAAAACCATACCTGAGGAACTGGCTGAAACTCCACAAGGCTGCTTACCCCACAGGCACATATAAATGTTAGGAACAGATTAAAGTTAGAATGGCAAATGGGAAACTATTGATCTTGAAGCCTTGTATCATCTCTAGAACATACAGTAATTTGGTCTCAAATATTAGGGTTGTCTGATAGTACACATATCAGTGTTTGAGCCAGGGTTGTTTTGAGATGTAAAATCCCTGTACAAAAAAACAAAGCAAAACCTGGAGCCCTGTCAACTTTTATAGTTAATATTGGATAATATTTCAAGAAACTAGAAACAATCGGATTTCCTTTACCAGCATACTCATCCCCCTCTTTATAATTCAATAGATAACTCTAAATATGGATGCCATTTTTAGCTTTATCTCTTTCTAAACCACCAGTTCATTTGCATCTCTTTGGTAGGCAAATGCCCTGGATCTTTCCATGTAACTATATACTCATTGCTCTGTGTGTGAATTCAGGCATTAAATAAAGGTGTTAGCTGGGACCTTGAGCAGACATCTTGGATTCCTTACTAAAATCACGTAGGGAGGGAAGTGGGGAGAACAATAGTTAAGGTGTGGTCTTTACAAACCTTGTGGTATAATACCAGGGTGTCAAGATCATGGCCAGTATAGAGAGATCCACACAAACCACTGAGCCACACTACCCTGACTTTCCTGGTGTGGGTAACCTCCAGGAGCATCAAGGTGCTGATGGCTAGAGAAAATCTTCTTGTCCAGTTCCTTCCCAACACTCTGAGCCACCTTGACAACCGAGTGGTCCAGGAACACCAAAAACTGACAAGGTTGCACACTTCAATTTGCATACCAATTTTGCCAGGCGGGAATACCAAAAATATCCACCAAATGCAAAAGAATCCAATAGAGCAGTGGTCCCCAACCTTGGGAAAATGCAAAAGAATCCAATAGAGGCAAAAACTGGATTTAGTACCAACAAAACCCTCTATTCCCAAAATAACCAGACTGCTGTCAAAATGTTATTTTATTTAAAATGTTAAAAGAAAAGAAGTCAAAAGAAAATAAAGCTCAAAGCAACTTTAAAACTTAGTTCAAAAAGTCCAAAATTGTGGCACTAATGCATATTAAAAAAGGCTTGAGATGAGAATGATTCTAAAAGTTCCCAAAGAAAATAAGAAAACTAACACTAACCCTAACCCTATAAAAGGCTTGAGATGAGAATAAAAGTTCCCAAAGAAAATAAGAAAACTAGCTATCCTTACAATCAAGCAGAATCAAAGCATAGTATACACAGAGTACAGAGTGAGTGACAAGATATTAAACCAGCATAATTGTCTCCTTAGAGAAGCTAAGTCAAAGTAAATTCTGTATCCCATTTTTATACCCATCACATACCTTTTCAGACCTTTTGAGGGAATTCCACTAATCAGATTCTCACACCAAATTATTCCACAATTGCAGGACAACTGCGATGAAGTTAACAGATAGCTTTGGGACACTCTTTCATCCTGCCCTAGACCCATTTACTTGGCAGTCCCATTTACTCTGTGTATATGTACAGTACTTATGATTGCAGCTTTGCATGCATTTCTGACGTGGTGGCGCTGCGGGCTAAACCGCAGAAGCCTGTGCTGCAGGGTCAGAAGACCAAGCAGTCGTAAGATCAAATCCACGCGACGGAGTGAGCGCCCATCGCTTGTCCCAGCTCCCGCCAACCTAGCGGTTCAAAAGCATGCAAATGCACAATTGCAGCTTTGCATGCATTTCTGAACTATTTCTATAATTAAATAATGTTTATTTAGTAGTACTATAATTAAGAATGAATGTTTTTTTAAAAAGTGATAATAAATTTTCTTTTCTCCAGGTGTTGCATTTTTGTTGAGCAATGCTCAAGGCTTATTTTTCACAGACAGAGAATTATTTTTTGAAAAAATAAAGAAGTTCATGACCATTCATAGGAATGGGTTTTTGCTTTTGTCAGCTGCCCGTCATGGACCAAAGGAATGGGATATGATGTTCAAAGTTCAACAGAGGTATGAAATAAATAAATCATCAATGGTTTGTTTTCGTACCAAAGGGAATGGGACACAAGAATATTTATCCAGTAGTATGCATTTCTGAACTATTTCTATAGTTAAATAATGTTTATTTAGTAGTACTATAATTAAGAATTAATGAATTTGAATGTTTTTTTTTAAAGTGACAATAAATTTTCTTTTCTCCAGGTGTTGCATTTTTGTTGAGCAATGCTCAAGGCTTATTTTTCACAGACAGAGAATTATTTTTTGAAAAAATAAAGAAGTTCATGACCATTCATAGGAATGGGTTTTTGCTTTTGTCAGCTGCCCGTCATGGACCAAAGGAATGGGATATGATGTTCAAAGTTCAACAGAGGTATGAAATAAATAAATCATCAATGGTTTGTTTTCGTACCAAAGGGAATGGGACACAAGAATATTTATCCAGTAGTTGCTGAGTCATCCAATCTGTAGGTGAAATGGATTTTGCTTGAAAAGCAGCCAAATAATATCAGCAGTATAACTTTGTCTTGTTACTTGTTCAGGAAATAGTGGGACATATCTCAAGGCACTTTCACAATATGGGACCATTTTACAAATACTGTACAAGTTACAAATCTTGAGATACTGTACAATGTAAACCAGTCTAGAGATTATATTTTCAAGATTAGAACTTCCGATCCCTCTGGTAATAAAGTTAGCTAGGAAGTAAATCTTCTTGATTTCAGTGAGACTTGCCTCCAAGTTATTGTGCCTGTAACTGCAGCATATGTTTGCTCAGGCTATGATATAAAAATGAATCCTGTGCTTCCTGGAGTCTAGTCATAGAGGTTTAACATGGGGACTGATTTATCCTATGGGCCAAATTGCCTCCTAGGACTAGGCTATCAAGTCAGGAAATATCAGAAATCAGGGTTCTGAACTCCACTCCTTCCCTGATGCCCATCTCTCCTTCTGCTAGTGAACTCATCCTTATGCCAATAAAGAAGCAGGCAAATTGGGAAATGCAGCCTTCTGCCCCATTTGCTTTTTAATATGAAGGAAGATTCTCTTTAGCGGACCCTCAACTTACAGACGACTTGACTTACAGACTTTTCGAGTTACAGACTTCTCTGGCTGCAAAATTTAGGTTCGACTTGCAGCCTGAGAATCAACCTACAGACCAGAAAAAAACCCAAAATGGAACAAAAACAGCAGGTTACAGGATTAATCAGTTTTCAATGCATTGTAGGTCAATGGAGACTCGACATACAGACTTTTTGACCTGCAGCCACCGTTCCAATATGGATTAATTCCATAAGTAGAGGGTCCACTGTATATTAATATATTACGGGAATCTTCCTTTATAAGGTAACATACCATACTGTACCTTACCTTCTGGCTACCCTGATAGCTCTTGCTGTTCATTTTGTTAGCCAGGTTTAAAACTAAGGTTTGAGTTATGAAGTCAAAAATACCAAGTTAATTACAAGATTAAGTGATATAAGTGTGCAATAAATTGTGGAAAGAGGACCATATAGACAGGTGGATCAGCAGTATAGCAAGTCGGCAGATGAACAGGTGTTGAAGTAGAGAAAGGTTTTTTGAGCATTTATTGAACAGTAATAATTGTGTTTGCTAAGAGCACACCAAACCTACATTTGTCAGTTTCAGAACATTTGAAGAGCTTCAATGCTTTCCTTTTATTTTTTATTGTTCTTCTATCTGCCAGCACCCCAATCATATTGATGAATGCCACATTTTGTAAAATTCCTGAAGTGCTGCACATAAAAATATGCTTAGCATGCTACTATTCTATTTCATACTATAAAATTGTAAATGCTGTAGTTAGCATGACTGAAATTTATGAATTTCTGTGCTTTAGGTTCTTAGGCAGTAATTTACGACTAATACCAGTCCACAATACTGCTGAAGCTGTTAAACTCATGCTGACTATAGCAAAGGTAAACAACCATATGTATTTATTGTCAGATAATTACTACAAAGTAGCATGGCAATTACATCATTGCATAAAAATAAATTATTCCACACAATTAAGTACTTTGGCCATCTCAGGAGAAGACTCCCTGGAAAAGACCCTGATGTTGGAAACTGTGAAGGCAAGAGGAGAAGGGGACGACAGAGGATGAGATGGTTGGACAGTGTCATCGAAACAACCAACATGAATTTGACCAAACTCTGGGAGGCAGTGGAAGACAGGAGGGCCTGGCGTGCTTTGGTCCATGGGGTCACGAAGAGTCAAACACAACTTGACTAAACAACAAAATGTCTGTATTAAGAACCAATGCACAATAGTGTGTCTAAGACTCAGGAGATGTGGGTTTAAATCCCTGTTCAGCCATAAAAATTCACTGGAGGACAACACTAGTAAACTCACTCCTTAGATATCTCACATTCCTTGGAAACCATACTAGGGTTGTTTCAAGTCAGAACCAACTTAATGGCACATAACACATACAGTATAATGTAGTGGGACAAAACACATCCCATGCCTTTTCATGTGGGTACTAAATGTGAAGCACTGAACCTGAGGTTCACTGGTTGGCACACCTGGTGGCCTTTAATTAAGGGTACCCTTGATTTGAGCAGGGTTAGAAAGTGTTTCATTTTCTTATTTGTGGAATGTTGCTGCTCTTTCTACCAAGATCAGAAGAGGCTCTAACATAATGAGTCGGGTAAGGCTAGATCACACCAATACGAAATCAGAATTAGATAGGAAGTCATATGCCTTTTAAAGTCTGTCAGTTACCTGAAAATGAGTCATTTACAGATTCATTTTCCATGAGTAACAGGAATCCTGGATAAAATGACTCCAAAGATATTCTCAAATCTTGCTCTGGATTAGTTACATTAGCTGTAACCTGCTGTATCTTTCTCTTTCTGTAAAGACCTCTTCAAAACCACATCTGGATAACATTCGCTACAGAATGCTGATGGCAAAGGCACAGATTGTAGAACAAAGTTCTGTTTGGAAAATGCTTCATCAGCGCCAACTGGAGTGCACTTTAATAAATACTACTTAAGGCTTCATCTAGAACTTTGACCATGTTTATTCGAAAAATACCTCGGTTTTGTCCTGTAAAAACCCACATTCACAAAGAAGTGTATCAATTTGGAAAACAGTTCTGCATCAGAGACATTCAGAATGAAAACATGAAAACCTGCATGTAATTTATTAAAGTTTAATTTCCTGCATAACCATCAAAAGACATATCATTGCTCACTTAAAAATCCATTTTCAGCCTCTGAAATAATATAAAAGATAAATACTGTTTGCATTTAACCTTGAGTGGAAATGTCCTGATATTCTTAATGTTGTAGAACATTCATTACTAGCAGCACAGAGAAAGAGCTACTAACATTGTCCTCCAAATGTACATGATTATTAATGATGCTGTTTGAAACAAAATGGTTGTTCAAGTTCTGTTCCTCCTTTCTTACAGATGAATTGTTTGCTGATGTTAACCCCCCCAAAGCAAATGAAAATAAAACGTCTTCTTGTTGTCCAATATATGCTCTTTAATGTCAATGAACTTGTATCTCCTACTGTATTTGTTCAGGTGGACTGCTAGGGAATGTTGTATATTAGACATATCTGCAGGAATGATCAGGAAAATTGGCATGAAGAACATTTACTCAAAGCCAAAACAGCTGGAAAGATCTCTACTGTATCACCTTGATGACATATGACTGTGATATGTATGTCATAGTGCTGTGCCATGGACTGCTCCAACACCCTCTACTGCTAGATCATATGCGAATAGCTATATAGCATGTGACTTAACAGTGCTATATAGAGTCCCATTTCTGTATGTCACAGTTTCTAAGCTACAAGTTTAGAAGACATCCCATATCAATTTGTACTGTTTTCTGATAGCTATTTTCCTTGTGAATATGAAATAACAGAAGCAAAAGAACTGATCAATAACTGACTTACTTCATGTTGGCTGTCTTTGTCTAATGCTGCTGCTTCTTTGCTGCTTTCTGAAATGCTTAGAAACTATGACCATGTATCTTGGGATTCCACAGTATGTTTTTTGGTGTTTAAACAACAGTGCTAGCACATGGTGTTATATAAACCTGTGCCATCTAGGTTAGGTATTAAACTGCAATAATATTTTGTATTTCTGTTCTCTGAACTAGAACTGAATTGTACAAGGTTGAATCCAGACTAGATTGGCCATTCCATGCACAGAAGAGCTATTTCTGTTCTCTGCTGAAATCTAGCAAGGACTTCACATTGAAGGAAATGTAAAGCAAGAGTTGTTGTTTTAATTTTTTTTCCAGCAGCCTCCCTGCTGCCCAATATTGCAACCCCTGCTATTATTCCCCAATTCTCTGGAATAGATTTTCAGAGACAGAGGGCAGAGTGGATTGGTAAAATCAACTCGTCTTTCTCTGGAGTTGGTGGATCAGTAAGTAGGGATATTACCCATCAAGTGACACAGTGCATACCTATTAGTGCCTATCCCCATTCCTGTTTGTGGATTATATTAAGTAGTACACTTTATATCACAGCACATGACATAAATTGTGCCATGCAAAAAGCCTAGTACATCACTTATGGCACAGAAAAACTTTCTGCTGCCAATGTTCCCTACCAGAAACGTAGTTCAGGCCACTGCATTGTGCTATGCTCCTGCTGAGCAGTTTTTAATTAAATCTCAGACCTACCTCACATTTACTTTGCAAATATGCCAATCAAGCTTGCTCTTGAAGGTCTCAGACCTTCTCTTTAGCAAACTGTACAATTATGATTTAGTAAATAGCTAGGGACTTTATATTTTCAAGTCATAATGTCAGAATGATACAGTACATGATGTGAAATACTGTTGGGAGAAGGTAAACAAAATGCTTCATTTGATCCCATCAGTTTCTTCAGTAGCAAGTAGTGTCAGTAAGTTCTTCCACTCTGGCCAGAATACTCTCCATTAAATCAAAAGTGACAAGAGCTGATTGAAGAACCTGAAATATTAAGCAGAGGTAGTGCTAATTATATACATGATAGATATCTTGGGGAAGAAGAACAAGTAATTGCAAATATATGCAGGATTTTAAGTAAAAAAACCCCCAACGTCTGTCATAATACTATACATGAAACACTTCAACAAAGTCCATTTACTCACATGAAGCTCCATATGAGATGTCATCTTTGACACTTTTTTCCCTGCTATTGTTACTGAAGGCATCTTCTTAGAAGTGTGTGACTCTAGCAGGACAAAATAGAATAATCTGGTAATACTTCATTTCCTAACACCTTACTGATCTCTACTGGCACTTTTGAAACATCATCACACACAACTTTATCTGGCAGACTGGCGATCCCATTAAAACAACGTATTAAAGCCCCTTTCAGTCACTGGGAATCTGCATAGGTAGCTGCACAAAGGGAGAAGCTAGCCAGGTCCCACTGGTGAAATTTTTGGCTGCCCTCCATATGTGGAGGGTGGTCCTCTATGAAGAAAACAGTTCTTATTCATAAACAGACTCCACATGATTCTCCAGTGTTCCTGACTGCATGGAAAGTACATGGATACGGAAATCTCACCTATTCAGAAAGCTGGAAATCATGACAGTGGAGGATGAGGCTAGATAATTCTTTCTGTTCACATAATTATCAATACAGATTCCTAACAACTACATAAGGCCTGAATGTTTCTTAAATTAAACTGTCCCGAATCTTTCTGCCTTTGTTAGGTCACAATGTAGGGTACTGGGTCTTTAGTCTATTCTAGTTTTATTAAAGCACAATAACACTAACATGTATGTTTCACATGTGGCTGGAGCATATAGCTCTCATTTTCCAACCTGCAACAAGTTACGTTTATAATTACAGCCTTATTTTCCTTGAAACAAACTAATCAATCTATGTGGTTGCTTCTGTAGGTGGTTGCACGTGTGAGTCCTTGTTCGCACATAAAGTTGTAAGTGCAATGGATTGAGGACAGATGAGCCTAAACAACTTGATCCTGTAGTTCACTGTATCAAAACTTAACAACCATCTTGCATTCTGGACCACACCGCAGATTTCAGCATTAGATTTTTCCTACCCTTGGGAAGCAATATGAACCCAGCATTTGGGAAATTAAGCTCTGAATATACAATAGTAACCAGCAGGAACATGAAGCAGTCTGCTCCTATGGAGTACAAAACAGTGAAGAATTCAGGAGTGTCTCTGGCAGGTGCGAATAATCTGTGCTTTACTAGGTTTTTCAGGATATTTTTATACTGGGCAAGAATCTACTTTATATTACAGCTTGTAGAAGAAGCTAACTCTGCTATACGTAGTACTTTGAAAGCCTCTTGCTCCTGCCTAGGAGAAAACATTAGAAAAATCCACTTAATTGTATAGTAAGCTATTTTTATGCAGACGGTTTCCCATCAATAGCAGAATTTTGGGTGTACCAGCTCTTCAAAGTACAGTGGTGCCCCGCATAGCGACGATAATCTGTTCTGAAAAAATCGTCGCTATACGGATTCATCGCTATGCGGGGCAAAAAAGCCCATAGGAACACATTAAAACACGTTTAATGCGTTCCTATGGGCAAAAAACTCACCGTTCTGCGAAAATCCTCCATGCGGCCGCCATTTTCGCTGCCCGGTAAGCGAGGAAAGGGCGCGAAAACACTGCGGGTGGCCATTTTATTTACCCGGTGGCCATTTTGGAACCGCCGATCAGCTGTTTTTAAAACATGCGAAAATTGGTAAGCGAAACGCTTACTGATCATCGCAAAGTGATGTTCTGCCATCTAAAACATCGCAATGCGATCGCTTTTGCGATCGCAAAAAACACATCACTATGTGGATTCATTGTTAAACAAATCGCTCGTTATGCGGGCACCACTCTATAGGGGATTCAATATTGGCCTTCTACTTTAAAGTAGGTAAAATGCCCATGAATTGTGTGAGGAAATCTATTTCATAATGAGAATATGCATTCAATGAACAGGCAAAACTAGACTAATTCACCATGTAACAAGTAAAATTCTCTGAATTTTTGCTTTTAAAAGGCCCTTGACTTTTGACCCTTGTGTCTGAGTTGCTTTTAATTCTCAATGGCAGAGCACACGCTTTACAATAAAAGTCCCAGGTCCAATCCCTTTCCATTTAAAAGATCTCAGGCTAAGATCTCTTTCTAATACCTTGGAAAACTAGCAACAGAGCAAATTACCATAAAGTGGTGCCTCGCATAGCGAGGTTAATCTGTTCCGGATTAACCTTCGGTATGCGAAAACATCGCTTTACAGATAAAAAAAAAGCCATTAGAACACATTAAACATTGTTTAATGCATTCCAAATTGGCAGAAAACTCACCGTACAGCGATGTTTTCCGGTCCGGCAGCCATTTTTGCGCCCTCGGTAAGTGAGGGGAGGGTGCGAAAATGCTGCGCACGGCCATTTCGGCCATAGCGAGACCGCGGATCAGCTGTTGGCAGGTCCAAAATGGCCGCCGGAACACCCGAAATGGCCGCGCGCAGCGTTTTCGTGCCCTCCCCTCGCTTACCAAGGGTGCGAAGCGAAGCGCTTACCAATCTTCGCTATGCGAATTTCGCCCACTGGGGCCGACGTGATGCCTTCGCATTAGCGATCCCGGAAAAGGGATTGCTATGCGAATTCATCGCTGTACGGGGCGCTTGTTAAGCGAGGCACCACTGTATTTGCCGGCATTTAAGACGACCCCAACATTTCCACTCAAAATATAGCATTCATTATATACTCGCCGTATAAGACTACCCCCTCCCTCTGCCTTTTACCCTGCTGGAAGGGCCAAAGAGGGAGAAGGAAAGCAAGTTTCTGGGGCAGGCTACTAGCTGGCCCGAGGCAGAGGCCAGCGCCTGCTCGCTCGCCTGGCCTCCAGAAGTCTCCTCGGGAGCCCGACGTGGCGGCGGTGCTGGCAACAAGCGGGGCGGCATTGGCTTGTCACACCGCTTGCTTTCCAGCTTCTCTCCGCCCGGGCAACATGGTGGTAGGTCACAGGGCAGAAGGAGGCGGCACTGCTGCTGCTTTCCATGAGGGCAACTTTGCAAGGAAGTGACTGAGCCAGTAGGGACAGAGCTCCACCCGCTTCCCGGGCTGGGCTTGCCTCTCCATGCTGCTTCCTGCTGGGCCATGCCACACCCGACAGCCGGAGCCGCCAGCTGCCTCCTCGGGAGAAGAGGCGCCACCTCCACCTCCTCCTCTTCCTCGTTCACCTCTCCTCTTTCCTCCTTGCGCTACGTGCTGCCCGCTCTGGGAGCACCTGGTTTATAAGACGACTACCCCACTTGGAGGCATGTTTTTCAGGGCAAAAAAAGTCATCTTATATGCCGGCAAATACGGTATACTGTGCTAAATGAACAAAGGCATTAACTTCAGAGCTTCTGTCAACTCTCTTATATATTACTAAATCCAAAAGGTTCTCTGGAAAATAGGTCAACTCACCTCCTTTGTTTTCTTTTCTATTCTTTATTTCAGCTTTATAGTGTGCTCTTGACATACAAAGTCCAATATGTAAAGGCTTCAAGAAAGTCTGTCGAATCTTGTGAAGTTCTGACCACACGCAAGTCTCATAAAAAGAAAAGAAAAAATTAATTTAGGCAAAACATTTTCAACTATATATTCTGCTGCTTTAAAGATGGAAAGGCATTTAGATGCACCATTAATGCTGATCTACATTTTAATCTGTTGAATCCTTGCAGCCCTTCCAGTTTCCATAATGCAGTATTTATCTTATTTATAAACCAGTTGTTAGCTAGTCCCAGCAAGCTGCAAAAGGCTTGTTGGTCAATTGAATATGCATAGCAACCACAGAACCAAACAAGACTTACACAGAGATGTGGGCCTTTTATAGAAGGTCTACAACACTTCATTTTGAGCCAGCTTTCTTTATGTGCAATTTGGGGCAGGCTGTTTGAGGGGCTCCATTTCCTCATATAGCCAGCCGTGGGGGTTGGAGGAGGCCCTTCTTGCCATTAGGTTCTCAGACAAGTCTCCTGTGAATGCAGGAGACTGCCTTCTAGGCAGCTGGTCCCAAGTTGTACAACCCCCGAAAGAGCCTAGGATGGCCCCTTCCTTGTTGTCTTCTTACCGAAATACAAGGGTGTTTTAATTCAGGCCGGTGTTTGGTACCTGTCTGGTTGCTGATGAAAGGGAGGCTGTAGTTTTCAAAATATGCTTTAATACTGTTTTAATTTAATGGTTGTTTTAGTATAATTTGTTTAGTAGTGTCTTAAAATTATAAGTTACTGTGCTTTTAGTTGTATACATTTTTCATTTACATTGTGAACTACCTTGGGTCCAAATCTTGGCAAAAAGCAGGATATAAATGCATTTATTATAATGAGGGAGGATTTCCATTTCCTAAAACTCAATTCCTGTTTTATGCATGTTTTTGTAACGCTCTATCAAATGAGCATACATTTAATGCCATTTAGAGCAATCCTTGCTTTCAAAATGAAGTACCAGATGGTTTGGGGACAAGAAATCACACCGTACCTCAAAGTGTCCATATATAGACCACTTCTTCCCTCTGCCTCCATGTTCCCCTGTCTTCCCCTGAGCAGGGGAGTGGGGGATTTTCAAAAAAAAACTTTTTAGGAAGTAGCATACCGCTTAACTGACTTGCTAAGCTACTGACATAGTACTAGATTCCAAGAAAAAAAGGGGGAAGTCCCCCTTCCACTTCCTATTCGATCTCTCACTACATGGGAGAAAAGCTAGAATTAAATATATATTGGTAAGTGGCATACTGTTGACATGCCATGTTGGTTCAATAATTGTGATCGCACATGCTGGAGTCTAAATTACAATAAAGAGAACTTACCCATGATAAGAAAAAACAGTAGCCCCTGCCAGTGATCCAGAAAGGTGCAGACAGACATGGAAAAAGGTCAGGCTGGTTTTTGATTGCCAGTATGTTGTGTAGTGATTGGAAAATAGATCCAATCTGACCATGCCAAGAGCAGTCCAAAACATGAGATAACCATCTCACTGCAACCTTCATTAGAAACAGTGGCCCAAATCCTCTTACCCGGTTACAGTGGCACAGCACAAATAGCATGAGTTGTGCAACTGATATGTCTATTGCGAAATCTTCCTATAAACATCATACTAATTGTCCTGCCCACATTACCTGAAAACCTCCCAGATTTCAGAGGAATCCAAATAATGCCCACTCCCAAAATATTCAAACCCCACTCAAATCACTATTCTACTTGTGAGTAAACATGGTTAGGCTTCAGCTGTAAGACTGTGCATTTAACAGCAATCTAAGGTAGTTAACACATAATAATCATGTAAAGTGGCTATTTATATAAAGATGTAGATCTGAAAATCAGATTAGCAGTTCCTATAAGAGATAGAAGGTAGAAATATTAACTAAGAGTTGAGGCAAAACTCGGCTTGCTGCCAAAGAGGCATACATTATTTGCCAGATAAGAACAGAGCCTTTGAAACCAGTCTCTCTTCAGAATGTTGAGATGTTACCTTCTTGCAGAATGAAATTCAATTCAAAATTAAGTTGAGTAAAGCACCCTGTGAGTGGAGACAGACAAGTGTGCCGTCCTCACAGACTTCCAAGAACGAAGAACACGAAGGATGTGTAGCGGGAGAACTGATTAGGCTGGATGATGATGAGAGTGGAACGAATAAGGCGGTAGAAGTGTTCTTGGCGGAGAGGATGAAGGATTGGGGGGAGGAGTTGGAGGTGGGATGATCCTATAAAAGAGGGGGAGAGAGGAAGAGGGGGGACAGAGCAAGAAAGAAGAGAGGAAAGCACGCAAACGGTAGAGACGAGAGTATAAAGAGAAAAGGTAGCTACCCTGGTAAAGACTTTCCCGAACCTGATGAAAGAAGATGGATTGCTGCCTTTACCTAAAGGAATTGCAAAGGTGGGCACGGGTGATCAACCAGAGGGATGGAAGTCGGGAACGGATCTGGCCAACCCCTCGGGGGCGGTCCGGGAGACCCATGGTGGAACCAGTCCTTTCCTCCCCAGATTAGAGGGATCAGTGGTGATTCACCCTTGTTGCCGAACAACTTGTTCAGTACTGACTGCGCCAGTCGAGAACAAGAATTGGGTCACCCACCTTGGGGGAAAGAAACAGTAAAAGCTAAAAGTGTTGGACCTGGGGGCAACCCTAAGAAATACTGTTTGATGAATGAAGATGACTTGCCGAACCCGTTTGGTTCTGAATTGTTTAATGATGGAGTTAATAAAACAAATCCTTTTTTGACTGTTACATCGTCTCCGGTTGTCATTCCCGCCGAATCCCTGGGCCCGCCCACCCTACAGAAAGAACCCAGTTACACACCCCTACCAGCATCAATCTGGCACTGTTATGCTCTCCTTTTTTTCCCACCCTTCGATGGTTTTAAGAGCTTTGCATGCAAGACAAAATTTAGTGCACTCACTGTCTTAAGGCAACAAGCCAAGATTTCACATATATAATAAGAGATTTGTGAAGTCCTAGTGTAGAGATTCTAAGACACCATGGATAACTCAAAAATTACACTCAAATAGTGGGAGGGTAACTCTGATGATGGTTACCTCTCCTACTACAGAAACTGAAATTTATTACAGAAACTAATATTTATTCTGGGCAGTTTAAAGATGGGTTCAAATGAATTCAGACAGACCTACTGCTCCTGCTATTGCTTACATATACCTCACTGAAAGGCTGAAATTCAGATAAGGTACCCGGAAGTATTGTTTGCCTGTTTAGCAAATGCAGCTGCAGAAGAACTTAGAATATTTATACGTCTTCATGCTTGTGCAAGATTAAAAATATATGATTCATGGCAAAATTGTCATCTTATTTGTGTTAGAAATGTTAAAGTCACCATGCAATTCCTGCACAGATCATTCATTCATTCATTCATTCATTCATTCATTTATTTGATTTGATTTATACCCTGCCTATCTGGGTGACTCATCCACTCATGTTGCTATTATTTGTCTCCTATATGCTAGAACACTGAACATTCTTTGAAGGTGTTTGATAAAGTGGCATATTTATTTTCAAAATCCAAATGGTATGAAGAGATACATCATTAGGGAAGGTTCAATATTCTGCAAGGATTTTAATTTAGGGTGCTTCCAAAAAAAGAGAGGGGCCATCATGCTGCTAATTATGAATGCTCCCTTAGTAAATAGGAAAAAAAGCAGCAGCAACACAAGCAAGAAACTCTGGAAGGATTACAAAATGGTGACAACAATGTCTGCTCCTTGTAAGGTTTTGTGAGACAGAACTAAAAGCTTTGTCTGGAAGCACCTCTAGAATTTTCTTGGTAAGAATCCTACATTATTCACAAACAATTCTATGTACAAGTACTTAATAACAGAAAAGTTATTTTAAATTACACGTTCTGAACTGTGTTCCTACCAAATACAGATGGAAAAAGTGGACAATTTTAACACATTTACTATTAAGTCATTTTTCATTTCAAAAAGTCTACAGCAAGCTAACTATATATCCACTAACATGCCCTCTTACTTATACCCAACTATCCCAATTTGCTTTAGCTTTATCATCACTTACTCGATTCTCTTCTTCATTATCCTTAATGAATAAATATCTCAGTAGATTTAGTGATGCCATAATCCTAGAAATTAGAAATACAATAATTATTTACCTTTTCAATTAAATGTTCAACTAGGCTAACTAAAAATCGAAATAGGTTGCATGCACTCATTCACATCTTCAACGTAGTGGTCATGTGCCAGATTGTCAGTATCACTGACTTACAATGGTAGTTCTCTCTCCCTTTCATACCATCTTTATTGGTTAGTTTACATGACATGAATAGAAGGTTACCTTGTTTCGGTAGCTACATTTGCAGAAAAAAAGAAGCGGTATGAAAAAATGCACTAGATCAAATGGTAATATTGCAGGGAGATCAACTTTACTATATGGCTGTTTTTTCTTTAACTTTCTTCCTGAAGAGGTAATTTCTGATGCATCAAAAAATTAATAGTGGAGAATTCTGGTTAAATGTTTATTCTCCTCTTTCACACATACTACCTCCAAGAGATTTCTCAGAAACTGCTATAGGCAAATCCAGCTTCTTTTTATTCTCACCTTGTCCCATTTACTCCCCCGCCCAAAAAAGCTAGCATTTCCATCCAATGACGTCTGTCAGATATCAGGTGAATTCAAAAGCAACTCCTAAAATAGACCCTTAAACCATCAATATTGGCCCAGAGGTCCACAAGCACTGGTTTATAGCCAATCCTCCATTTGTTCTTTGCTACCAGGTCCTTGAGCCCTGCAGCAGTACAAGAGCTCAGGACAAAGCAGGTCCCATCTCATTTTAACTGGAAACAGCAGAAAAGCAACTGTCATTTTTCCAACAAACTGCAGCACTAGTTCAGGAACTAGTAAGACTGCTTTCTGTATTAGATGAGCAAATATTTCTTAATCCCTCAAGCAACCCAGAAAAATCACTGCATTTCAGTCCCCCATAATGAACAGTTGCAGGGTGATCTCCATGGGCTTCAGTTTAATTATTTAGAATGTGTTGGCACTTCCCCCACCAATACCAGCATTATGTTGGTAGGGTTTGAATTTCTGGACCTTACAAACTCAAACTAAAATATAAACAATATTTGAATAGACTATCTTAATAAGTGAATGTCAAAAACTTAAGATTATAGTACCAAGAATAGACCATTCCATGAGCAGTAGACTTCCACAACTTTTCTTCCAACTGTAATAATTCTGAGCATTCTGCAAATTGAAGCTTAGCTAGAAACTCTTGCAGGAAATGCTAGTAAACAAGCTGAGCTCTAGTAAACTTAATGGCCTGTATTGTTTTACAAGCTTCAGTGGAAGCAGCTTGATGGAAGGCAGGGTAGGGAGGGTCTCAACAAAATGCTTCTGCAGAGGTCTCTATGTCATCTTACCTGTCTGAGTTCTGGAGAAGATCAGTTGTCGCACCATCAGGAAGGGAAAGTGCTATGTCTAGCAGTTTGACTAAGGAGTAGCCAGTAAAAAACTTGCTGTCTTCTGGATTCTAGAATGTAGCATATGGAACAGACAACACTTAGACAATATTTTCCTCATGCAGTCATTAATTGTACTGTATTAGTAACAAGCTGAGCAACTTTTAGAAATAAGCTGCAGTACTTTATTTCTATCCCGATTTGTATAACACTTCTTTGCAGTTACGGGCTTATTATTACAGTCAACCCTCGACTTACAAACGGCTCTAGTTACAAACATTTCGACTTACAAACCACTCTGAAAGAAAAATATTGACTCGACCTGCACACTTAGATTCGAGTTACAAACCGAAAAAAACACACGGGACGAACCAAAAAGGGGGGAAAAGGACAGAGAGGGATTCTGGCTTGCACAGCCTGGGTCAATTAACACAACATGCTTTAAAACATGCTTTAAAATTGGCTTCGTTGAAAAAAAAAGATTTCAAAAGTGCTTTTAAAACTGTTCCCTGCCTCCCCCCTCCTTTCCTGAACTTTTCTTGACCTAAGAAAAAAACAAAAAATATATCCCCCTCTAGTGGCAGAAAGCGGAATAGCAGCTTTCCATTAGTTTCTATGGACGGAAACGAGCAGATACGGATTAAATGGTTTTCAATGCATTCCGATGGGAAATGCAGATTCGACCGCCAAACTTTCCGACTTACAAACTGCCTTCCAATACGGATTAAGTTTGTAAGTCGAGACCCCACTGTATTGCTTTCTAATCTTAGCTAAAACTAAGACTAGTTTTACTAACGTCACATTGCTTTCTCTCTCTCATCCGGATTGCAATTTACTAGTTTAAAGAATATATTTGGAGAGACATATTCTAGTGAGCCCCCTAACTGCAGAACTAGAAAATCTGAAGTCTGTAATTAGAGTAAGGTCCACAAATGAGTTTCAGTTAGATTAGCCTACTCTTTATTCAAGACCAGCAATAGGTCACTGGCTGGTGAGATAGAAAGAACAGGAATACATGGACTTGCAAACAGTAGAATAGCTGGTTGCTATAATATACAAAAAACCTTCCTCTATGACCCTTTCATTTGTACTAACTATTTTCTGTGTCTTGAAAAACAGGGGGATAAAGGTACTACATAAGATTCTAACTTCTTGGAGAAGTTATTCCTGATGATATACTCCCCGACCCCTTCCCTAACTACCCCAAGACTGCAATTCGAAAGCTCATGTATGTATGTCCCAGCTTTTCTTCCTCTTATTATAGTTCCCTCTAACCACACAAAGCAGCAAGGCATACGTCTTTGGGACTCTCAGGAGGAATGGGAAACTGTGTGCACACACAAGCAGAAGACTGTGTGTCTGGCAAATACTACATTATTTCACGGACCTCTTTCAATTCCTTCCCAAATGCAAAGGTGCACCTTCTCCACTGTTTCCCTCTGTCCCTTTTAAATAACTAGCCTTACCCGTAGAGATAAATCAATCTGATTTTTAATGTTTTGAATGATGTATCCTTCCACACCAGAATGATTACTTCTCTGCAACAAACACCTGCAGCAGAAGACAGGAGAGGAAAGATAATGCCTTGTGCCATGTACACCTTTGAGATGCAACTGTTTCTGGAGTTTACAGGACTGCAATAAGGATTAAGCTAAATTAATGGCAGTAAATTACAGTTATGGCACTTGAGTCTCGGTCACCCTATACCATTGAGATGTACCTGAATAAAATGTATTTCCCCTCTTCTTCAAACTTGTCTATGCACAGCTGTAAAATGTTTAAACTCTTCTTTCTCTACACAAAAAACACAAAATGTGGAGAATGAGTGAGTTACAATATATTTGAGACACAGAACTTAAAAATAAAAACTCATCAAACTCGTTACATACCAAAGGTTCAAAAGGGCACATCGTAGCAACCTTTACCAGATCCTACCATTGAAAAGACACAAAACAAAATGTGCACATCATTTAATCACACCTGGAGAAAACAAGCTTCTTTCAAGCAAATGTGATTCAAAATACTACTAAAAAAATTAACTGACTTCCAACTCACAAAAATAAAGGAAACAATGCAGTAAATCTGTAACTCCATCCTTAAGCCACACTACTGCACAGATATATATTGAATGGGTCAGGGTAGAAAGTGATCTGCAATAAAGGCAGAGAGAAGTGGATTAAGGAGAGAGTGACAGACACCAACATGTATATAGTGTCAAAGACAGTTACAGAATTATAGAAAATGTTTGGAAGGCAGGTTGGAATTGTAACATAAGAACATAAGAAGAGCCCTGTTAGACAGGCCAAGGGCCCATCTAGTCCAGCTTCCTGTATCTCACAGTGGCCCCACCAGATGCCTCTGGGAGCATAGGAGACAATTTGATACCTGTCTCAGGTGCACTCTGTGCACAACTCCATAATGACAAAATACTTTCACCCTGTGCCCATAAATTGTTTATTAAACAACTGCAAATACTGAAATTATCTTGCTCACTTTTAAAATTATCTTTCTGGTTCCTCCTGGTATAATATTTAATAGAATACAGTATTCTATTCTGCTGTTCCATACACTGAAGATTTAAGTCCCGAGCACAGTTAGGGAACAATCCAAAGCAGTAAAGATAGATGAAGGCTGACTGAACTGAATGCAGGTCAAACCAGACTGTGCTGAATACAAACTCCACCCCACCCACGGATGTTGGAAATTACTTAGGACCACCCTCAGCCTGGTTTAACTTTGTGCCAGAATAGTGGCAGTGAGTCTCAGCTGCGAGGGATTTGGATCTGCTGTTAACTCGGCGGCTTCTCTTCTCTGCCCATTTTTTGGCTCTTCTGCCAGTTGCTATCAGCCAGGACAGCAGTTGTGCCAGTATATCCAGCTGCGCTGGCATATCGGAGGTCAGCCAGCGTAAAAGGTTTCTGCCAGTTCCAAATGCAGTGCAACTGGTGTATCTTTGAGTTGGATTGTACTGTTGGTAGGGAATGTGCACCACTGAACACAATGAGGTTTCCTTTTGAGTACAAAGACAGCATCAATTTAGTTGATATGATTTCCTTTTATTAATTTGGTTGGTAGGAATAACAAGACTCCAGCTTCTCAGGTCGAACTTTGGTATGATACTCTAATCTGATACAGATTTAGAACACTGTAGAATGCATTTTAATTCTCTTATTATTCTTAGTGTTTTTTATTTATAGCTGTGTTGTTTTTATGATTTTTGACTGTTCACTATTGTTTTATGCTATGTTGTAAACTGCCTAGAGTGGCCTTAGGCCAGATGGGCAGTATATAAACAAAATGTATGAATGAGTAAGTACTGTACCTTGTTTCCCCCAAAATAAGACCTAACCTGAAAATAAGCCCTAGTATCATTTTTCAGGATGCTCATAATATAAGCACGACCCCAAAAATAAGCCCCAGTTAAGTGAAACCCCGCTCTCCACCCTTGTGCAACAACCAGAATAAGATGACATGACTGTATTTGAATAAACACATATTGTTGTACATGAAAAATATAAAACATCCCCTGAAAATAAGCCCTAATGCATTATTGGAGCAAAAATTAATATAAGACCCTGCCTTATTTTCAGGGAAACACGGTAAACTTGCAGTGGCATGAATGTTTAGGGGTTTCTTAATTTTTACTTTAATCTCATAGAGAAAAACTGTATCAAATTATACTTTCCATGTGTAAAAACTATACTATTACATTGTTATTTCAATAAAGTTTTCAAAAATAAAAAAATTAAAAAAAGCTTAGCTAAGTAGAACCCTCACTTTTGTTAGCTACTTACAATTACTATTCAAATAGAATGAGCTAAAATTTTACTCCATATAAACATCAAAACAGAAGGAGGATTCTCCATTAAAAGTACAGAAAGAAAACATGAAAAATGCATGTTAAATACGTCTTTCAAAAGCCATGGATGGATTTTAAACTTTTTTTTGTCAGCTTTGGTCTATATTCTTTTTTAAGTGCTCCATGAATGTCAACACATTAGAAAAGAGCGCATGTATAATTAAAAAGTGCAGTGTTTCCACTACATTACCTCAGAAGTTGCAATGAAAATTTTGAAGTCCAGGAATTCAATCAGAAGGCTATTATTTTGCAGTCTCAGTAGACAGTTCTCCAATAGAGTCTACAAATTTAATTAATATATTAATTCTTCAGGACTACAAGCATTACTCTGTTGATACAGAAGCATTCCCCAATCAGTTAGAACACAGAGGAGTAACCAGGAGGAATAATACAAGCTCAGTGCACCCACCATACAGCAGTTTGTCTACAACAGAGCTATGGACTGAGGTGAATGTAACTTCACCTCTGAAGGAAAGTGGGACCTGACAATTTAACAAGCAGATGAGATTATATATGAATGCAACAGTACTTACTCCAAGGAGGAGGTGAATATGTTTGTGCATGTTTTTGAGTTGGAAGCAGTTTTTAACCATTTGCACGCAAATGTGAATGCACTCGAGTTTATGAAGCAAGGTTCCCTTTATTTTGCATCTTTCTTGAGAAGCAAAACACAACCTTTCATGGGATACGTACATCTCTGCATGGCCTACTCTACACCTGAGAATATACTGCATTCTTAATGAGACACCTCTAAGAAGGCACCCTATTAGATCTTCCTTACATTGTTTTCCGCAGTGGAATAATTCCAACTATTAGTTTGTAGGAGTGAAAATCAAATGTCAAGAGACAACAAGGGGTGGGTGGGAAGGAGAATAGCTAAGCTGCTCCCTAATGACTCCAGCCAGTGAGAATCAAGGCTCTCTCTGAACAGCCCTATGTATGATTCCTTACAGTCTCATCCTAAAATGCGATGTAAGATTATTATGGGCAATGTGTTGGGAACTGGCAGATTAAAGACAAGTTCTGCCCATTTCAAATAAAGTGTACTCAAGGCTTCAACGGTCGGTTTAAAGAGTCATAGAACAAGACTTAGAGAGAAAATGGAGGCTTTCAGACCCTACGACAATAGTCTAGACTAAAACCCTCTGTAGGGTTTTGCAGTGTACCAAAAAAGACCTGCAAATACAAGGCACAGTCTAGCATGCACTGTCCACGCTCACATGCAACTTAATGGAGCTGAAGCAGCAGGCTGGTAGATACTGCCTAATAGCTTATGCTGCAAGTGGAAAAAGTTGCCACAATCATTCCATTTGCAATTTACTTTTTGTCAACGTAACACTGACTTGACAAGCCAGAAAAACAAAACAACAAGACAGGGTCGCAATGAAGCCAGAGAACTAGATTCCGATGTCATGTTGAACAAGCCATGGATGGTAGGCTGCCACCTGTAAAAGGAGTGAGTGAGCAGCACGCCTTAGTATACTGTCTGTCCCCTAGGACCTAGTATTCTCAAGAATGCCAGCTCACTGCAATGTCTGAATACACCTTCTTGCCTCTATTAATTGCAGCATCAACTGACACAGCCTCTCCACAAATTGCATTCCAATTAATAGTTACTGGTTGCTTGGCAACAGTGCTTAACGGATTAAACAGGGAAGGTTCATAGCTCAGTGGTGTAACATGTGCTTGGATGCAGAAGGCCCCCAGATTAAACTCTGCTTAAAGTGATTAGCGAGCAGATGTTGGAGAAAACCTCAACATGGGGCCTTAGACAGCCACTGCCAGTCAAAGTACAGAGTACTAGGTTAAATGGGCAAACCATATAACCTGGTCTAAGGCAGTCTGCTATATTCCTTTGACTGCTATGGAAAAGACTTATATTGAATGGGAAAAAAAGCCAACAGGGTTCCTGTAGCTTTCTTAGAAGAGGACAATTCAGCAGATGCAACTTTTAATGTAAGTTACATCAGCTGGAAATTCCCTCCTTTGCACAACTGAAATAATTGTGCCCTGTCCCACTTTTCATTTTGTCATACTAATGTTTGCTGTACTTTATATACATAATTGAAAGGATATAATCCAAGTTGACCATAAAGTTCAGAAACAAACCATGTGACTAAGTGTCAAGCTAACTGTCTCTAGGATCGGAGCCACGCAGGATAACTATGTGCAATGTTCACGCAGAAGCAAGTCTCACACAATGCAGGGAGATTGCCTATATGTTAACTGAGTATATGAGTGCCACCTTATAGATAGATACTGTCTTATTTTACACATAAACAGTTAAAGTGAACTTTGACTTTCAGATAACAGAAAGAGGAATGGCTTATTTTTAAAAAGTTACACTTACAAGTCCTTTTGATAAAACAGGTTCTTCTTGCCTGTAAAAAATCAAGATGTCAAATTAAGTTTTTAAAAACTTAACGTTATTGTCTCTTCCAGTAACAACTAAAATTCTTTTCATCAAGATCAGTGATGCTTAGCTCACCTTTCTCCCTAAGTGGCAATCTAGCAAAGGTGTTCAGATTGGATCTATTATTGTGATGCAGGGCATGGGTGGGCCATGTAAAACTTCTGAATGAACGAAAAGAAAATCCTATGGGCTACACAACTGCTATACACTTTGCCATAGTTTTTCACATAGTTTTGTTGGATGGACAAAATAGCTTCAAATCCAAACATATGAAAGCATAGGACTGCTCTGAGAAGAACCATTATAAGTTCACCACCACCTTTTGAAGCTGTAGTTTTAATACTAACTTCACCACAGCTAAAGTTGGAGTCTTGATAGTAACTTCACTGGGGCTGGGACTTCATTGTCTCAATTACAACAATGTTCCAAAAATAAATGAAGGCACAACTAAGTCAGGGTGGGTTTGATTTTTAAAAAAAGCACCAGAATTTTTTGAAGATCTGATTTGTATCCACCTTGACTAAGATTGATCCAGCCTGAACAGAAGCATCTCCTGCAACGGCAGGTGCGTTACTATGCTCTCTTCAACTGTATTTTTCAGAAGTTGTTCCCTGGCCCCAGGCCCTGGTAACATCTAGGGGGAAATGAGTGCTCTTACGGGGACAAAGGCAGCTTATAAATGAGATCCGTATAAATATATAAAATAACAAAACAAATGGTGAACTAAAACAGAAAGAATCAACAACCTTACCTTTTCAACAGAACTCGAACGTGCACCATATTGCTTTGCAGAATATACGAGGGGCTACAACAGAAAGTCATGAATAAATGCAAGCATTTATCAGGTAGGACGATCAAGATCAAAAAGTAAACCCTGCATATGATATGGGTTCAGCATATCACTAACTATGGCACACTAGAATGCACAAGAGACCAGCCACACAAATAATTAGCCCACAAAAACTTTACTACCCTACTCAACAACATTGCCATGCCTAGATTAACTAAGTGAAGAACCTCTTGCTATGCTTTGTGGCTGGACTGCTGAGCAAAGACATTCTTCCACGCATCAGGTAGCTAGGTGAGTGGCTTCCTAGAACTTTGCGACAACACTTACCTGAAAACAACTGGAAAGCAGTCAATGCCAAAGCTATCCTGAACAAATACCATGTAAGACAGACATGCCAAAGAATCCGCATGCTGATCACTGGCTATTTCCATGAAGTCCTCATCTTCCGAGTTTTCAATTCTGCATCTGTGCTGAGAGAACACTTTAGGAAGCAGTTCTCTAAGTTCTTGCAATATGTCCTGTTCAACAAAAAGAACATCTACTGCTGCATGTGAAGGAACACCAACATACAATTCTGTTTTTCCATAAAATCATCTTCATGCTGTGAATACATTTAAAGGTACCCTGACAGAATACATACATGTGAGAAACAGGAAGAAAAGGTTTTATTTCTTTTTATGAATCATTTTCCTTTTATGAAATTATGGAAATAATAAAAAAGAGAGACACTGGTATCTGCCCCTAAAGTAATTTTTCTTGCCACTTTGCATTTTACTTGACACTTCTGACAGGGCAGGTTTTTAATGCTTTTGCTAAACAGCTATTTCTACTTTCTTCCAGTAGTACTGGAAGAAAGGAATAACCTATGTCTGAAGATATACACTCCTTCCCTCTGGTGAACTCTGAGATATATGCATAATTTGTATTTTGTATAATCTAGTAGAAGAATCCAAAGCAGGCATTTGCCTGCATTCACAGAACACAGAAAGATAATAGCTTTACACTGCAACATTACAGAAGTTTTATACCACTTTAATTGTTGGCTCCATCCTAAGAATCCTGGGGCATGTCATTTGGTGGGGGCACTTAAAACACTCTGTGGTAGTTCAGAGATGTATATAAATGCTACCTAGAAGAAATGTCTAAGTGCCTCACCCAAATACAAATTCCAAGATTCAAGGCCATAGGATTCATAACTGCCAACTGTTTATTCAAGTACCATAGACTCACCTCAGCGAGCATTATCAACTGGGTTCTAGAGATGGGCACGAACTACTGCTTCAGCAGTTCGTACCGGCTGAACAGGTGTTTGGCACTCGTCAGCCCTCTCCAGAGGAGGAAGGGCTGGGAAGCCAGAGCAGTTTCTCCCTAGAACCAATTCTAGTCAGTTAATTCCTCTGTAACATGAAGTGATATTTTTTAACCTCAGGGACTAAATGCTGCAACCACACCTTGCCTGAATCAGGATTACCTGAGAGAATCCTGCAGGTGAAATCTTGATTATCAGAACAAGATGTCAGAACTTTTCAGTTATGAGTAACTGCAAATCATCTTTATAATTGGGGATGGAGAGGTGAGAACAAAAGAATGCTCAAGGTACTTACTAGTATATCTGCAGCAAATTGCCTCAGGGGATGTACAGCAGTTCCTTCAGGTAGTGGATCAAGCTCTGCCAATAACAGGGGATATTTCATGCTTTTCAAGCAACTGAAAATCAAAGTGATTGAGCATATTATAGAAATGTTCAAGAAATGAATTAAGTAACAAACCAGTGCAGAATCTAGGGGCTTTACTAATTTCTCTGTGATAACAGTAATTTAAAATCATTATTTTTAGCTTTGCATATCTGACATGGCTGACCTATGATTATAATACAGCGATCGCAAAAACATTGTCGTGAAGCGGATTCATCGTGGAGCGGGGTAATCGTTAAGCGGGGCACCACTGTAACAATAAAGTTAACATTAAAAGTCAAAATTATTATACCATGTGATGGGGGAGAGAGAAAACATCACAGAATTTAGGAATTGTCACAATGCCTGAAAATGTCAATTTTGAAAGAAACAGTCCCAGCTTTTCCTTAAGTGGAGTAATCAATGGAAAAGCTGTGGAGACTAAGCAAGGAAGACATTCCATAACAAAAATCTCTCCCATTCTCCAGTCTAGGAACAAATTGGTAGCTACAGTTCTAGATGATATGTCACCCAAAACAGACAGACGCCAGACATGCACACTGTATTATATGCCTGACAGTGAAACTAAGCAGTCCATGGCACAAAGAGGTCCACTGCAAACAGCTGTACAGGGGCAAAGAAAGAAAATAAAAGACACATGAAAGAGCCCACTTGCCCCTTCTTCACTCCTTTTGCCACAGAAGTCCCTCTCGGATGCCACTTTCCTCCCATAATGTACCAAAACACATGAGAGGAGTGGAATGGGGGCGGATTAGGGTAAAAGCAAAGGGAGAAGGGCTCTGGTGTCTGCTACCAATCATGATTTGTGATTTGTCATACCACTATTCTCCAGGAAAAGTGAGGGACTTACAATGCAAGCAATTCTTCCTTCAAGTCTTTGCAATCTTTGTCTAAGGAGTCCGCCGTATGTTCAACAACATCATCCACAAAAGGTCTAACAAAACATGGCAAAGCGGTGCAACACTGGCAGAGACCGTGCTTGTCTTCTTCTAGCTGTTGCTTGGTGTAAGGTACTGGCAGAAGTGAAAGTTGGTTCAAAATGGTAGACAGCGCCAACCCCACTGAATAGGCCTTCTTCTTCTCAAGTTTCAACAGCACTAAAGCAAACAAAAACATTTCCCAGTTAATGACTAATGTTTATATTTGTTCACACACACACAAAATCTGTAATACTGTAATAAATGAACAAATGTATGTAGACAGATATCAAAATCCTATTGGTTATGCCCACCAACCTAACACAAACCATGTAAAGGTAGGTAATGAATTGCAGAAAAATCACTAAGCAAATAAAAGAAGACATTATCTTTTGTACCTGTCCCAGCCATCACATGATGATAGAATTCTGGCCAGTCTTGCTCGATGCTGGCCGAAGAACAGAGGCAGCACTGAGTGATGGAGTGTAACTCTGAGCTGCTGCAAAGCTTCTTTTGGAGGTGGTCGGTTATGTGCTGCTTGAGGACCTCTGCCCAGGTCAGTAATTTTGAGGCGCTTACCAGCTGAAGGAAAGACAATGCTCTCTCCTCACCAAGCCATCCTCCAGAGTAGGACTTAGTAGAGTCCCATTCATGTTGGAGGAAGAAGGGAGGAGGTAAACTTTGCCATTTTCCATGTCTTCTGCAGCCCCCTGTGCCTCCCCAAAAGTCAAAGCTTGGCATAAAAGCAGAAAGAATGGCCTTCCTAACCTCTACCTGAAGGTGAGCTTTTGCTTAATTTCAGTGCCTTTCCTTCCGAGACCTGTGGCTCTGGATCCAACCTTTTGGTATACTTAATATTATCATGAGTTTTTTCTTCTCTGTGTTTTTTTTTAAACCATAACATCCTTTTTCCCCCTGCCACCAACTGCAGCACCCCCCACTTAAACTAGAAACATCCATCAAGCAATCATACACTGTTATCTGAAGAGATATGATACACAAACAATGGGATTCTGAGTTCAGGGCACTCCCCCTCCTGTGCCAGAAAGAATGGTTCAAAGTCTCTTTGTTTGAGAGGAGTGCTGGCTGTTCCTCAAAAAAATAAAAATAAAATAAAATAAGGGAGGAGTGCCTGCTGTTCCTAAAAAAAAAACCCACACACAAACAAACAGCAACAACAACAACAACAAAACAGACACACACAAACAAACAACAACAACAAAAACCAAACTCTGAGCTCCATTGAGGCCGTGCCACCTAATCACAGGGGTCTTTGCAGTCCTGACACTCTACTTTGCATCTGGGTTGCAAACAAAATGGAATTTTGTATTAACTGGGTTAACTTTGGGTGGGTTCTTATTTTGCTCTCTACTTTTGTCAGTAAAATATGATTATTCAGATCTGAAGAAATAATCCATCACTAGACCAAGCTCTGAGCTCCTTTGAGGCTGTGCCACCTAATCACAGGGGTCTTTGCAGTCCTGACACTCTACTTTGCATCTGGGTTGCAAACAAAATGGAATTTTGTATTAACTGGGTTAACTTTGGGTGGGTTCTTATTTTGCTCTCTACTTTTGTCAGTAAAATATGATTATTCAGATCTGAAGAAATAATCCATCACTAGGACAAGGGTCTTCTCACCCTTTGCTTCCTGCTGCAGCCACCTCCTACACACTCCAAACTCCCCACCACCACCACATTTGAGTATTTGGGGATCTCTGAGATAACATTCAATGGAACCGGCAATGTGGGTGGAGAAACAGCAGAAGTTAAGGACCCTCCCTTGGGCAATCTAGGATTCTTTCATTTGCACTAAATTATCCCCGAATCCAAGTCAGTACTGAAGCCTAAACCTACCTTACAAGTTTGGTGTAAAGATAAAACAGGAGGGAGGGTAAGAAGCGAGGATCTCTCTCCATAGAGGAAAGACAAAGCTCTCACATAACAAACAGACTCCTCTTATAATTAATTATTCTGTTTGGCAGTACTAATATCGTAACTTTGAATGTCTTCTCATAAACTTACAACTGAATGACGTCATTTAAGAAGCAGCTAGAACATTTGTCAGGGGAAACGTTCCACAACCCTTTCTGTAGCAACTTATCTAATGTAATCAGTGAGGCTGCTTTGTTTAAGTGTTTAAATAAAATGCTCTTCACCTTCTTGCAGAGGCTCCAGCAAAAGCAAAATTGTTGGGCATGCCTGTTCCACAGAGGCTTGCTCAATTTGCTCCAGAAGGCCAAGCACGAGTTCTTTAGGACTGCACAGCTGCAAGAATAAAAGGAAAACACAATAAAACCTGCTTTTAAAAAAACCTTGGTATGTCAATGACTGCCACCTTCATAATGATTCATGTAAGGCAAAATAGTACATTCTGTAAGGTAATCATAACACAATTTTTAAAAAAAACCTTAAATAAAGTAATTATTTCTCAATTAGTTAATTAAATCTGCATATAAAAAGAGAGCTACAGGAAAACCAGAACACAGTATGTTTAGATCATGCAATTATATGTTACAAGTTCTCCTTCACACAGATACTACTCTTGAACGGTGCAAACTATCTAGTATTTTCATATGTATTTGTACTAAACATCAAAAGTAAGTCTGCTGCTTATTAACAAAAATGCTTTTGGTTCACTGATCTAGTCAATTCAGAACTTTTCAGAAAGGTAGCAGCATTAGTGTTTTGACAACAAAATCAAAACTATTGTGGTGGGGTGTACTGGATAGAGTGACGGACTAGGAGTCTGGAGAAGAGGGTTCAAATCGCCACTTGGCTATGGAAACTACAGTAACTAGGGGAGTGGAACTGGTAAAACCATTCCTTAAATATCCTATTTACCTTAAAAGTCCTATTACAGTTGCTATATGTCAGTTTTGACTTGAGAGCACAGAACACACACAAGGTTAAATAATGAATTTATTTCATTTTGAGTTTTCATGGATTACGATGCAGTTTTTCAGGAACACAGAGTACCACATTGGGGTCATCTGTTTACACTGGGCATAAACCTACAGCTTAAATGTTGTGCTCCATGTGTTTGAATCAGAAAGGCCCAATTCAAGTCCTAATGATAACACTAACTGTTGGGGCAGCAAGGTTCTCAAGCTAAGAATTTTGTGAGTGTCTGGACTGAAATTACAAATGTGTGAAAAGCATCCCAAAAGTCTCTGCTTGTTTATCCAAATCAGGTAACATCAAGAGAAAGGTTTTCTGTCAGACCCAACATACTGTGCAATATAGATATGTCAGCCTGTGAGTAGGACAGTTATTTTTCAACGTCCCGTCACTAAGACAAGCAGTTTTTTTCAATGTTTGTTATGCAGAACAGCCATTCTCACCTTATTTTTGCCATGGCCATAAATGTAATACAGTGGTGCCTCGCTTTACGATTGCCCCGCATTACAACAAATCCGCTTCACAATGATCTTTTTGCGATCGCAAAACAATGGTCTGAATGGGGAAATTTCGCTTTGCCATGATCGGTTCCCTGCTTCGGCAACTGATTCTTCGCAAAACGATGATTTTTCAACAGCTGATCGGCACTTTCAAACTGGCCGCCGGGTAAATAAAATGGCTCCCCGCTGTGTTTAGGGACAGATTCCTCGCTGTACAGGCAGCGAAAATGGCTGCCCTATGGAGGATCTTTGCTGGATGGTGAGTTTTAAGCCCATTGGAATTCAATGGGCTTTTTATTTTCGCTTTACGATGTTTTCGCTTAACGGCGATTTTCCTGGAACGGGTGTGTGAAGAATAATTTCCAGCCTGTGGCCCACTTCAAATGCGCCCGGGCCCTTGTTGAGAATGGCTGATGTAAGGCACTACTGTATTAAAGAAATATAGATGAATCAGGATTTTATAAGTTGTATAATGAACCTTATACGCAGTGTGTGAAGAATCATTTCCAGCCTGTGGCCCACTTCAAATGTGCCCGGGCCCTTGTTGAGAATGGCTGATGTAGAACGGCACATAGTAAATAAGCTTCCTGGGAAGTGTATCATGCTAACCATCTCTGCCTTACACTCTAGTTTACTAAATTCAGAAAGATTTTTTTTAGGTGGGGGAACTACACCTCTTAAACCCCCATACACAATCTGAGGTGATATGACTCAGAAATCACACTTCACTCTTTGCATGTGTTATGTGTCATCAAGTCAAAACTGACTTACAATGAGCCCACAGCTTCTAAGTTGAGATACTTGAGAAGTGTTTTTATCAGTCACACTCCTTCTCCAGTGACTTTCCATAGCTAAGCAGGGATTTGAACCCAGGTATCCTGAGTATTATACCATAATTCTATCCACTATCCAGCTGGTATCATTCTGCATATCTGCATGCATAAGTATGCACTTAAAAATAAGATCCAGATCTAGTTTATCCAGCCCCTTGTGTCTGACTTTGTTTTTCTTCAATAAAATTCCTTCCCTAGTTCATCTAGGAAGATATTCTGAATAATCAACATTCTCCTTGTCCTCAGGCCATTCTATGCATATGACTTGCTAAAAACAAATTCCCTTTTTCTTCAATGAAATTCCTTCCCCAGTTCATCCAGGAAGATATTCTGAATAATCAACATTCTCCTTGTCCTCAGGCCATTCTATGCATATGACTTGCTAAAAACAAATTCCCCAAAATGCCTGCCTTCCACACAGCAACTGAAAGCCAATGTCAAAATACACCCTGAAGAAATGCCCCAAAGCAGCTGATGAGACAGATCTGGCAACATACCTCTACCAGTTTATCTACTATTTTCATGCCTTGTTTTCTCTTCACTTCATCTTGCTCATGCTTTAGCATGCATCTGATCAGTGGACCAGTAAGATTCCAGCCCATATTTTTGACGATAGCCTATTAAGAGGAAAATGTTTGAAATGTCACTTTAAATAGAAACAGGGAGGATGCAGACTTTAAATAGGAGTGTAATGAGTGCATGCAGAAGTCTAGATCCAAACTGCTACCGCATCAATTCCTATTGGTGTTTACAAAATGTATCATAAATACCAGAGCTCTCTCCCTTCATACATGTAAAGCTTCACCCCCACTGAATGAGTAAGTCCGTGCTTTTGACTCCAAACAGGACTCACATCATAAGTGAAATCTTCCCCCACGCCGCACCACAATCCTGCACACAACTTAAAAAGTAATATATCCTTCACACATATCAGGAATAAAGCTATGCTAAAATCATTAACATCTCATGTACTATCTGGATGATTTGTATTTTATGGAGAACATTAAATCATGTGACATCCTTCCTGTGTTCCTTGCAGTCTAAAGCACTCTAGCCCACAGGTCTAGTAGTTCAAGAAGAATTCGGCTTAACAGGTTCAAATGCTGGTGTAGCATTAAACTAAAAAATTCACCACTTCCAACTGCAGGTGTCAGAAACATTGTGTGTTCTTAAGTTCTCTACTTTAGGTTGCGTTCTTTTTATAAATAAGATCCTCACAGGCTGTAAAGTTTAATTTGATCTATATCATCAACAGAAAACTCACAGTTAGGTGAACTAGTTGGGCATACAAAATATGAGACTCAAAATATTTTAAACTTTTGCATTAGTTTTGCAGAAACTTTGCACAAGTTTCTTCAATATGATAAAGGTGTAGAAGTCATGTCATGTGCACTTTGGTTTAGGTAGCTAGTGCTCTGGCTTCCAAAGCCCTGGAAGACAGTTTTGAAATGCTTTCAAGTGTTTGCTTCCTATATTTACAAGATAAACACACTTCTAAAGATAAAAAGGAAAAAGGGATACTGCTTCATGAGCTAAGACTTTAAAAGCCACAGGTCAACAATACCTTTCTTAGGTATTAGGCTATTAATTACAATGTCACAAGCCAAATTCTAAAACGATTCAACTTGTAAAACTAACTTCAGTAAAAGAACCTGTCATGGACATCTAGCCTGGAATTTTAGGACTCTTCAAAAGTATTGAAACAAAAAAAGAGCTCATCTGTATCTTTTTCACCTCCTGCAACTTATCTGCAACCTTTCTACCCTTAAGGACTCAGCCAGCAGAACAGAAGTGCCCTGTTGATCAGATTAGAATGCAAAGAGCAGGGCCCTGTGACTTCATTAGTGATTAGAAATTTGATTAGAGGTGAATGTGAAAAAGGATTGTGTGCAACCATCCTACCCCCAGGGCTTGTTTCACCAATTCAATACAAGTACCCTCTGTAATTTGATCTGATTTGGAGTTGTGTAAAGAGTTGGGTGTTGGCACATTCCAGAGGCCCCCTGCCTACTGAATAGAGGGTGAGAGATATCCATGCTTAACAGCCAGTAAACCCATGCAATCCATTCTGTCTCTGGAGAGCAATCTTGCATTCAGTCAGTTCCTGAGGTATAATGAAGATCTTCTGAAAAAAACTACAGAGAAGTTTGAGAAACTTGTGGTTCTCCAGATGACATGGCCTCTCCTTATCCCTTTCTAGGGCTAATAGACGTTGGAGCCCATGTAAAGATCTAGTGGCTGGAGAGTCACATGTTCTCCATGCCTGCATTGGAAGGCAATCAAAATGGCAAGCAAAGGGAGCCTGCGTGGGGAAGCATGTAAGGTCAAGGTTCACCGAGTGCCTCAGAGAAGTATTACAATGGGGTCTCTACTTAAGAACGTCTCTACTTAAGAACAATCCAACTTAAGAACAGCTCCATTTGCTAAATTTTGCTTCTATTTGAGAACAGTAAGAACGTTTCAACTTAAGAACACCATTCCAAAACGGATTAAGTTCTTAAGTAGAGGTTCCACTGTAGTTTCTATGGACGGAAAAGAGCAGATACGGATTAAATGGTTTTCAATGCATTCCTATGGGAAATGCAGATTCAACATAAGAACTTTTCAACTTGAGAACCACCTTCCAATACGTATTAAGTTCTTCAGTAGAGACCCCACTGTACATCCTAGCTTAACATTAAGTGTAAGCCGAGCCATTGTCTAAAAGGCACATAAAAGAATGCCTTGCCATCCCATAACATTACCCAAACATCTAGTTTACTGAACAAATACTTCAATGTTTTAATTGTTTTTTAATTTAGATTTATACCCTACCTATCTAGACCAAAGGTCTACTTTGGGCTAATACTAGTCAAGTCACAGTTTTAAACTGTTTCCAAAAACAACTGCAGATACAGCACAAATGTTTGTAGCTTCTTTCAACTCCTATAGGTTTGAACAAGACTAATGAGAGGGTTAAGACAAATAGGTAGTTTTAACTCACCGCATTTTTCTCATTTTGGACAACTTCCAGTATTTTAGCTATATACCCTTCATCCAAGCACTTCTGTCCGGCAACTTGAAAAAGATTGAAGTCCTCCCCTTTAAAATCCTCCTCATCTAAAATTTGCTATAAGAACATAATTTTTCTATTATTATTCATAAGATACACGAAATTATGAACAGGCTACCTTAACTTTACAACACAATACCAATTGCATATTAAAGTCAACATGTTTCTTAAAGATAAACTCTAAAACCTGCCTCCGATTACTTCATTTAAGCTGTCTTCATTTAGAAGGATCTTTTAATAAATCTGATTTCAAAAACAATCCCCCCCACTGGACAAAATAGCAAGTGTTGCATCAACAGTTCCAAATCAGGAGTAAGAAAACAGAGACTTTATTTACTGTATTAACGTATTTGAAGAAAATCAAATTTAACATATCCCGCTCACTGATCTGGTTTAACAAGCAAGCAAGTTACTTACACATCTTTGTATTATGGCTTGAAGTTCTTCTTCTGCCATTGTTTTCAGATTACCAAACTCTAACTGCAAATTTTGAAAAAAGGGAAGGGGATTTGAATGAGATGCTGTATCAAAATTGGCTGAATCTTGAAACTGCTTTATACCATGTCAGACTCTTCATACGTTGCCTTATCCTGGATGTGATATATTTGGCCAGACATAACAACCCATTTACTGCATTTTAAGCTTCGCCTGCCCCCCCACCTCTCAATCACTGACAGCTGGTATAGCTGCATCCAGCAGTTTCTCCATTATATACTTCCACATTTAACAGCCATCAGTAGTGGTAATAGGCCAGTACAAAAGTGGCTGTTCTGCTCTTGGTCCATTAAAATACCTGCTATGAACAATCCACAAAAGCAATCCGCAAGGGTCTGAAATTTGCTGTGTGGAATCTTCCAGAACAGGCATGGGAACATTATTATGTGACAGTTATAATATGGATTATAGCATATGTGCCTTATGAAGGGAAAACACCAACTTCCAAGTTTTTCAGGCATGGCAAGGGGGAAAATTGTAAAACGTTTTTAAAAATTTAAACTAAGTAGGGTTTAAATGAGGCCTATATCTGACTCTGCTTGGATTGTGTTTTTAGTATTGCTTGTGTTCCCCATTTCTCAGAGTGATCTTTGTTTATTCCTTTCTGCACTTAAGAGTTTTCAGCTTTAAACACTGCCTTTTAATGATGTAAGTTGTCTTTCTATGCTCATTGTTTTTAGCTTTAAATATTGTCTTTCAATTTATGTAAGCCACCTAGGTTCCTTTTTACGGAAAAAGGTGGAATAAAAATACTTTAAATATCTATATTCTCCCTATTTTTGTCTCTCTTCTGTTGTTCTTCTGTGTTGAAGTTCCCTTTGCAAGTCCCTTGGAGGCTTGCCTCAATTCTGTTAAAACAGAGCACACAAGTATTTCTATAATTGCATAATTAATAACAAGGGTTAATTATTTCTCCTTCTTGACTGGACTGCAAATTAAAAAGGGAGAGGTCAGGAGCCTAGTAATATCACTGCCCTTGCTTCAGAAACCAGGACTCAACTTTCTGCAAGATTTATCAGAAGTCCAAAAGTGCTCTCCTGCCGGAAGGTTTCCAGGGGAAGTCTAATTTAGGGGGAATTAAAGAAGACATTCCAATTAAGTATGGTTAATTGTCTCACAGTAGACTATTAGGCATATTGCATTAGAAGTTGTACTGAATGCAATGATGAACGAAGCGTGACTTTCAAAATGTTTTTAAGTGTTTCCTATTTATTAACAAAATATATTTAAGTGTACACTTTAATCTTGCTTTACCTTAGCCAAATTATTATTGTCAAGAAAAAATATGTAAAAAATAGGTGAGAGTTTCATTTCTACGCAGACTGAGAGGTACACATAACTCCGCTTGTAAGGAAACGGAGACACTGAACATAGGTTTGGAAGGAGTTTGGAGAAGGTATGAAGTAAACATCATCGCTTTTCGGCTCTTGTACCTCTGAAGATGAAGAAGGAAAAGAGCACAAGCCTAATTTCAGTCCGGCCGCCGGAACGCGCCCCTTGGGTGGCGCAGCGGTAAAAAAAATAATAATGCCACTTTGCACATGCTCGGGGGCACCGCTTTTTATTTACAAACGTCGCCCCAGGAAGACGCTCAGACCTCTTGGTTGGGAACCAGATACTGTACTAACCCCGCTCAATGCTTTCTTTCACTGGGAGGACCTGATCATCCTTCCCTCCGAGCTGGTTGAAAGGCTTCAGGGAACGCAAAAGGTGGTGGTGGGGGGAAAAGGACTGAATTGCTACGAAGGGTGCAAACAAGGACGGGGCTACCCGCCGGTCTCCGAAAGCCACCCACACCCGGCAATTGGGAGGGCAAAAAAAAGGACGCGCACACGCCACCCCGCTGCCGACTTACCTCCGCCGCCAGCCGCTTTTTATTTACAAACGTCACCCCAGGAAGACGCTCAGACCTCTTGGTTGGGAACTAGATACTGTACTAACCCCGCTCAATGCTTTCTTTCACTGGGAGGACCTGATCATCCTTCCCTCCGAGCTGGTTGAAAGGCTTCAGGGAACGCAAAAGGTGGTGGTGGGAGGAAAAGGACTGAATTGCTACGAAGGGTGCAAACAAGGACGGGGCTACCCTCCGGTCTCCGAAAGCCACCCACGCCCGGCAATTGGGAGGGCAAAAAAAGAGGACGCGCACACGCCGCCCCGCTGCCGACTTACCTCCGCCGCCAGCTTCCCTCCGAGCTGGTTGAAAGGCTTCAGGGAACGCAAAAGGTGGTGGTGGGAGGAAAAGGACTGAATTGCTACGAAGGGTGCAAACAAGGACGGGGCTACCCTCCGGTCTCCGAAAGCCACCCACGCCCGGCAATTGGGAGGGCAAAAAAAGAGGACGCGCACACGCCGCCCCGCTGCCGACTTACCTCCGCCGCCAGCCCGCTCCTGGCCTGGCCGGGCCCGCTCCTGGCCCGCCTTACCCCCGCAGCCTCATGACTCCCTCCGGCCCCCGCCCCCTCGGCCGCCGCTCCGCCTCCCCGCAGACGGGTGAGAGGTCAGAGACGACAGGATGATGGCGGAAGAGAAAGCGCCAGGCGGCGGCAGCAAGACCAGAAATCCCCGCAGACGCCCAGGTAAAGACCGGGTGGCGGGGCGCCTCGCGCTCCCCCCCCTTTCTCTTTCCATGGGCCCTTCCTTTGTCTCAGGAACAAGCGGGGAGGCTAAACCAATCCTTGCTTCTGGAGGGGTGGGGTTAGTGGGAGTTCGCGGGTGAAGGAGGTGGAGGGAAACCGCCGTTTGGGAAAGATGACCCCGCGTTTGTACTTCCTCGGGAGTAAGTCGCGCAGTTAACTCCGTCAGTGTCAGTGCTCCAAGGCTGATACCCAGAGGGGATTTTTTTCACCCCAGATTCCACATGGGGTGCGGTCCCGTGCAAGATCTGTGTTGCTTCTTGCACTGAAAGTTACCCTAGGAAAGATGTTTGTTTCTAGTACTAAGAGCTGTCACAGTGGTTCTTAATCACATTTACTCGAGGTCATTTCCATTGAAAATCAGTGCGATTTATTTCCTGAGTCAAGCTTTTGGGGGGTCTGAGTTCAAGATTTCAGATGCCTGAAGTTTCAGGCTTCCGATCTAACCATACTTACTGGAAGGAAGCACCATTAAAGTCCAACGTGGTGTCGTGGCTCGAGTGTCAGAGGAAAATTCAGGAGACTTGGGTTCAAATTCTCCACTCAGCCCTGGGCACTCACTGGGGAGTGACAGAGGTGAATCCAGTCCTTGAATGTCTCATATGCTGTACCTTGAAAACTCCTGTTAAGGTCTCCACAAGCCAAAAGCATCATGACAGTATGTGACAATGATGACAAAGCACCACGAATGAACGAAAGTGAACGTGAGCGTATATATTAGTAGGATTGTTCTATTGATGTGGCCTTCTTCCAATTTATTTGTAAGTTCCACAGAACGACAAAGCACCACAAATGAAAGAAAGTGAACCTGAGCATATATATTAGTAGGATTGTTCTGTTGATGTGGCCCTCTTCCAATTTATTCGTAAGTTCGCAGAAATCAGTGGAACTGAGCTTTTTAAAATTTTGTTGTTTAGTCGTTAAGTCGTGTTGACAAAGCACCACGAATGAACGAAAGTGAACGTGAGCGTATATATTAGTAGGATTGTTCTATTGATGTGGCCTTCTTCCAATTTATTTGTAAGTTCCACAGAAATCAGTGGAACTGAGCTTTTTAATTTTTTGTTGTTGTTTAGTCATTAAGTCGTGTCCGACTCTTCGTGACCCCATGGACCAGAGCACGCCAGGCCCTCCTGTCTTCCACTGACTCCCGGAGTTGGGTCAAATTCATGTTGGTTGCTTCGATGACACTGTCTAGCCATCTCATCCTCTGTCGTCCCTTTCTCCTCTTGCCTTCACAAATAACAATTATAAGTGGCTTTTGTTTTGTGCTCTGTTCCTCAGTTACTGGAATTCTTCTGAACACTCCCATTGAAAAAACAGGTGCACAGCTTAGGGGTGCTCCTGGATTCTTCCCTGAACCAGGATGCCCAGATATCAGTGATTGCCAGGAGTGCATTTGCACAATTGAAACTAGTGCACCAGCTGTGTCCCATTTCTTGAGATATCTGATCTGGCCACTGTGACACATGCCCTTGTTAGTTCCTGGCTGGATTACTGTGACATGCTCTATGTGGGGCTGCCAATGGAAAGTGTCAGGACACTTCATCTGGTCCAAAATGCAGCAGCCAGATTGCTGACTGGGGCTGCTTACAGGGAGCACATAACCTCCCTGTTACAGGCAGCTGTTTCTGGGGACAATTGAAAGAACTGGTTTTAATCCATAAAACCCTAATTGGCCCAGGTTCAATCTACCTCAAAGACCATGTCTCCCATTATGAGCCAGCTTGCTCTACTGGTTGCTGATTAGTTTCTGGGCAAAATTGAAAGAGCTGGTTTTAATCCATAAAACCCTAAATGGCCCAGGTCCAATCTACCTCAAAGACCGTATCTTCCATTATGAGCCAGCTTGGCTGTTAAAATCATAAGCAGAAGGCTTTCTCTTGGTCCCACTACCTTCACAGATGCATCTGATGAGGACACGGGAGAGGGCCTTCTCTGTTGCTGGTTCCAGACTTTGGAACTCTCTCCCACAGGAAACTAGGCTGGCCCCATCTTTGCTGTTCTTCCACAAGCAGGCAAAGACCTTTCTCTTCAAGTAAGCCCCTCAGTAATTAGCTACCTGTGTGAGTTTTTTAGATGGATTGTTATGTATTACTGTATTAACTGAGTTTTTTTGTGTGTGTAACTTGTGTTTTCCATTTTTGTATTTTCCAGTTCTATTTTTTAAAAACAACATTAGTATACCTATTGTTTTTAGCTCTAATATTGTCTTATAATGATGTAAGATGCCTCATTATTCATTGTTCTAAAAACAGCATTAGTATACCTATTGTTTTTAGCTGTAATATTGTCTTTTAATGATGGAAGATGCCTCATTATTCCTTGCTCTTAGCTTTAAATATTATCTTTTAATGAAGTTAACCATCATTATACTCATTGTTTTCAACTTCAAATATCATCTTTCAATGTTGTAAGCTGCCTTGGGTTCTTTTCAAGGAGAAAGTCAAAGTAAAAATATTTTAAATATAAATAAAGATAAACAGTAACTGAGCCTGAAGCCCTGAATACACTTTAGGGAGTTAGTTATCAGCCCTACCCCATTCTTTTCATTTCTTTTCTTTTTGCAGCTGCATAGCAGGCAGAAATTCAAAAGGTACAGCATTTAGTTATCAGCCCTTTTCTTTTCTTTTCTTTTTGCAGCTGCATGGCAGGCAGAAATTCAAAAGGTACAGCATTTCAGCTTACAAAGTTCATGATGAAAAAAATGCTGGATTCTGTTTCTCAGATAGCTATGAACATTAAAGAGTTTCTCACATAACTGGGAGGGTTTTGCTAAAATAAGAGGTTAACTGGAATTGTAAAAAACCTTTATTATATTGTTGGTAATAAGGTTGCAGGACATACCTTCACCACAAATTAACTATCCTAAGCATGTCTAAATGATCTCAAAATCAGAAAGCTGTCCAGACCTCACTGAGAGTCTTCTTGAATGGCCCAGTCTTGAGTAAGTGTTCATAGTACAATTTTGGAGAGACCAAAGCATGTAGACATTCATTTATAGCTAGTAATTGTAAGCCTTAAATTAGACATGCAGTTAAAGACAAATGATGTGATCAGGTTCTTTAAGAGGTGCTTATGTTATATTCATTTGTCTTATTTTCCTTAATATTGTCAGTTGTGATTATATGGATCTTCCCTTTCAAAACATATTTTATTATCATTCTAAGTTATAGCATGCTTTGAGTGAGACATTTCACTGATAAAGGGTGGTATCCAAAATTCAAAATATACCGTACTAAAGCAGACCTTTCGGGAAAAATATGGTAGATGTTGTACAAGTAAAATGTGTCTTCCTCTAAATTTGGAAAACCCACAACAGGAACATTGTATAAGACTAATTATTTTATGTGACTTTTAATTTTTAATTTTTATTTATTTTTATTATTAGGAAATAAGCAGTCCACTTTGAAAAATGAAGATGCTGCACAAAGGTATCATAGTTTTTCATATTATATGGCAAAATTTACTTGGATTGATGTTTTGTTTAAGATTGTACTTTGTAGATATTTCAGTAGTCATTTTACAGAGAGATGTATAAGCAGACAAGAAATATTTATAGTAGCAACAGTGGATAGAAAACTGTTGTTTTATAAAGCCCTCGCAACCCCTGGCCTTTAGAGATGTAAAATTTCAGAAAATTTTCGTGTTTTTTTTTTAAAAACATGGAAGTTTTCAGAAATTTTACATCTCTAAAGAGCACTAGAGTTCTTATAATAAGAAAACATAAAATGAAAAAAACTTCTAAGAGTGTTTTTCCCCTAGGAAAAAAAATGGAAATTTAGGGAAATTTATATCTACTGGCCTTACACAAGACTAATTTTTGGTAAAACATGCCTGATCCTGGAACATATTTATTGGAGGGTCACTTTTGAGATCCGTGTCAATATTTCTCACAGATATACATGTGCTCTGACGATAAATGTTAGAGATGTGCAAGACTTTAAATTAGAGAAGGGGGTATTCATATATGAATATCTCTCCACCGCTGGAGTTAACAAGGGTCCGGCCCCTGGGGCTGGACCGTCCACTCACACATCTGCCACCACTGCTGGCTCTGCTCATCCTTCCAAGCACTCCCAAACACTGTTCTCTTCCCGGTCATCTAGCCACTCCTGGCAGAGGGAGGGAGGATGAGCCTCCCTGCAAGGCTGCCGAGTGGTGCTTTGGAGCACTTGGAAGAGCGGGGCTGTCGTCACTGGCGGACGTACGTGTGAGGGGACGTTAACTCCAGCTGCACATGGATATTTGTATACAAATATGAATACCCCCTTCTCTACTTTTAATGCAATTAAAATGAAAAGGAAGCATATGGAATTATTTTGAATTACAAATCTTGAGGGAGAGCCAGTGCTACCATTAAACAAAATGAAATAACCGCCTTAGCAGCAGGCAGCAGTGGCAGCGTGCCTGCAGTTCTGTTCTGTTTGAAGACTATGTATGCCACAGAGTCTATTCTCAACTTCCTAAACTACACAAATAAGAGAGGGTACCACTTTGTTCTCTACTTCAGACAGCAAATTGTCTCGGGCTAGCCCTGGTTTCGGGCATAGTTTTCTTTCTACCGTATGAGTTGCCAAACATATCCATACAGCTAAATACTCATTCTGTTGTAGGAAAGCAGCTCTTGAAGCTGCTATCAGAAAGAAGATAGAGTGTGAGCGAAAAGCCTTGCAAGTCGTTGAATGCCTCTTGGAAGATGGTATCACCGAAGACTTCCTCTTAGATTGTGTATGTCCTCTTTTAGTAAATGTTATGACAAATGACGTTCATAGTTTTAACATTCCGTTTCGTTGTTGAAAAAGGACATTATCTTGTGCCACATTATCTTGGTAACATTTCTTGTTCAGAAAAAGTGTACTGTGTTTATCTGTGTTCGCCTAGCACTAAGTCTCCCTGTGTCCATTTCACTTATTATGCATCTAGTGAAACTTTGACCATCAGATGTTTTAGACCAGTGGTTCCCAACTTTGGGTAATCCAGGTGTTCTTAGACTGCAATTCCCAGAAGCCTTCACCACCGGCTGTTCTGGCCGGAGTTTCAGGGAGTTGCAGTCCAAGAGCACCTGGGTCACCCAAGGCTGGGAGCCACTGTTTTAGACTACAGTTTCTCACCACTGGCCATGGTTGCTGTGGACTCTAGGGTTTTAGTTCTCAGCAAACCATCCAAAAGGGTCAAAGGTTGTCTGTCACTAAAGTAGGCTGCAACCTTGTTCATGACCTATTAGAACCAAATAGTCATTAACGTGCTCATGTTCATTGTAGGTTTGTGTGTTTCAGCCTTGTCCCTTTAAGCCTACAACCAGGCATCCTGATTCCTTCCATTAAAAAATAGTTTACAAGTGGAATAGCGCTGTATTGACAAAATGTGGGGCAAGCATTTGAACCAATACTGAATCAGTATAGTACTTGAAGGAGAGAGCAGGGTTCACCCCATACCACACCCCATCAGTGATGTAATCTGGACATGCTCAAACAGTGGCTCTGAATGATCAGTGTATTTGGTCATTCAGAGTCACTGTTTGAGCAGTGAATTTGTGATCATTGAATTTGTGATCGTATGAGCCAAAAGCAAGACAAGTTAATGCAAATAAAAGTGTTATTTAAAAAAAAACTCCACAATCCTTGCTGACAGAACCGAATGTGTGGTCTACACCCTCCAAAGTTAATGCTCATCTTAATGCAAATAAAAGTGTTATTTTAAAAAAACCACAATCCTTGCTGACAGAACCGAATGTATGGTCTACACCCTCCAAAGTTAATGCTCATATCAAGCAGTTAATGGAATAAATAACAAAAGGAACAAGGAGGAACATGGCACAGAGTGGGACAAATGCCCATCTAGTTGCTTCTGCAGATATTAAGGGAAGTGCTTAATCATACAACTCTTTAAAGTATTAGTCAGTTAGCACATACAAACATTTCATTAGTCAAAATGTTAAAGTAAATCACAATTGCAGTAGAACCATTTGAATCAATGGAACTTACAGATAAGTTGACTCACAAAGCCCCATTGATTCAGTGGACTTACTCTAGTATGATTTATTGCACTAAGCAACAGAATTTTGGCCATTGTTTCAATCCAGACCTCCTCACACTGGAAGAAGTTTGAACTTGCTGGTAATGTTGTTATGTGCTATCAAGTCAAAAACAGCTTACAGCAACCCTATCAAGGCTTTCAAGGTAACAGAGATATTTAAGGAGTGTTTTTATCAGTTCCACACCCCTAGTGACCTTCCATGGCTAAGTGGGATTCAAACCCAGGCCTCCTATGTCCTAGTCCATCACTCTATCCACTACACCACACTGGGTATCCAAATTGCTGCAACACAACACTTAATAATACCTTCGCTCCACCAGCCTTCTGAGCAAGCATATTCATTTGTAAGTTTGAAAGGCTTCTGAGCCCAAGCTCCCCAGATTGAAATTTGCTCGGAACAATAATGTAATGTTTTGTTTTCATTTAAAAAAAAACCCTTTACCAATGGATTTTAAAAGATATCCTCTTTTCACTGTTTGCCATTTGTATTCTTTGCTTAATTTTATGCTGTTTGGGTACTCAGTCTTTTTTGTCTATGCTAAGTTCTAAGCAGTTCATTTATTGTCAAGTTTTGAGAATGTGTGTGTGTTTCATAATTTCAGGGGAAGCTCATAACACCTGCTCACTATAAGGATGTTGTGGAAGAGCGATCCATCATCAAATTGTGTGGCTACCCCATATGTCAAAATAGGCTACAGAATGTAAGAATCTATGAACAGTGCACTGTTGTTGCTTTTCCTGCATTTTCTTGCATCCGGAATGTATTACTTCCACAGAGATGTCCAATACCTTCCTTTTGTTTCTTTCCTCTATATCTTTGTGTTAAAATTTGAAAGTGAGGAATAGTGTTTACTACTACCGTTGTTGTTGTTGTTGTTCCACTTTTTCCCCATAGGGGACCCAAGGCAACTCATAATGATTAAAACCATAATCATAAATTAAAATACCATACAAAACTATGTATTAAAAATGTATTAAACATTGATCAAGATTAAAAATAGTTTTAAATACATTTTAAAACACATTTTTTAAAAAATCTAAATTTTGTACATGGAGTGTTACTGGTGCATGGAAGGAAGTCCATGGCTGTCTGTGCTCACTGGTAGTAATTTGCACAAGGCCACTTAGTTCCACAGCTAAGGCTGCAGTCCTACCCTCAGCCTTCTGTCTGAACTGGGGTATGTGTGTGAGAGAGGTTTTTTTGATCTAAGGTTTACAAAACTGTTCAAACTTTAAACCTTGATTTAATGAAGCTGGTTTGTTTCAATAAACTGCAGTTAAGTTTAACCATTTAGTTTAATCATATACATGGCTCGGGACTGTTGTTAAATAATGGTTAATTGAAAAGAGAATATGGTTAATTAAAGAGAGAGATCACTCATTCTAAAATCCAAGATTATTGAAGAGCTCCATCAAAAATTTCCAAAAAGGGTAGAACTATTCTCCAAGAAAAGGTTTAGAAAACAATTTTATTAAACAGTTCTCCAAAATTGGAAAAATCAAGCCAACAGAATAAGAAATGCCTACCATAAAGCTTAACAACAAAGTTGAATTCAAAAGAAAAATGTTTTCTTCTAGGAGGTAAGCATATTCAAAACTTCAGAGAGGAACGCTGGAGTCGAAACAAAAATCTAACTGGGAACTCTCCTACTCAGGAAATATAACTTCCTTTTTCTCAATCTTGAAAGCAAGTAGCAAGCCCAAAACGTTTCTATGTCTTGCTAGGATGTTGTATTTCTCCAATCAAAATTGATTCTATATTGTTTAATGACTGGACCAGAATATTGGTCTTTTCTTTGATGCCCATCTGTCCAACTTTCTTACAGTAGTACCTTCAAAGTTCATCCCTGAAGTCAGTATCCCCAACGTTTATCTCTAATGTAAAATCAGTTTTCATAAACCTGTTACCCCATTTCTGACTGGAATGCTTTTCATAAAGTTTTCAGCTATAGAAACAAATAATAACACCTCTGCATTAATAAGAATGGTAAAATTTGTTCTGTTTGACAAGAACTCAGTAATAAGAAAAACTGAATTAAATGCAGGGAAAACATCTGTGTTGGAACCTTAAATGTCTGGTGATTTAAAAAGAATATCTTACTAAATACCATAAGAGCAGACACTGTATGAGGACAATGACAGAAATACTAGGATTGCAAAGTCATACATACATCAGTAGACAGCATTTTAAAATAAATGGTTATCTGTGCTTTGTATTATTTCATATCCAAACAAATCAGCATAAATTCTCATTTTAGTATTTTTACATGGGGGATTCTGAATGTCAAATGGTGCAGGTGTGGCCCCTCTCCAAATGTTCTTCGTTAATTCTATCCAGGAGGAGAATTTTGTTAGACCTTATAGACAAGGCACATATGTAGTTTTTAATTGAATTTGTGTAGTTGCAGAAAAAAAGTCCAAGAAAGCCCAAGACACCTGTATTACCTCTTCTCCTTAAAAAAGGAGCCCAAAATAGCACCCGAGCAACAAATGGAAACATGTTAAAATGACAAAGTGTGGATAAAATAGCAAAAAGCAGCAGGAACAACATAAATGCCCTACTAGAGTGGAAGGTGATGGGAAGAGTACTGTTCGTATACATACTTGAAAAATATCCTAGAATGTTGTTCTTGTCAAATGTACAGTTGTGTTCAAAATTATTCAGCCCCCACTGAAATTGAATGTTTTGGCCATTTTGACATTGATTTTGATCATTCGTTGTTCCTGTCAAATGTAAACCGAACTGTCAGAAATCAACCTAAAATGTGTAGTTGAAGTAATGTGACTGTTTGATAAGTGATTCCAGATGTGAACGCTTTACTGGTTGCTGGAACTATGCTTCTTTTTTGTGATTGTTTTATTTCAGGTTCTAAAACAAAGGTACCAAATTTCTACAAAAACGAACAAGGTTTATGACATCACAGAAAGAAAAGTAAGTATAAACGCTGTCTCAGAGAACTACGGCTTCATGTTATTCTTGTTTTTCAATAACTTGGTTCAAAATCACAAAAAGCTCTGAAGGTGATGATGATGTACTGCCCATGTTTTATGACGAGAGGTGCTGTTTGTGGCTGCACCTTGGCTTGAGCAAACAGAGACTTCAGCAGTTCAAAGCCACTTCATATAAGCAGCTCTTAATATCATGAAGTGGAGTTAGTTTTTATTTCTGGTTGATTGTGATTTGTTGAGCTGAGTGTGTGTAGACACTGTGATTTAATGACTGGAGTGGAACTCCAAGCCAGAGAAGAAGTTCTTTTACATTTGGTCAGCTGCTGCCGAGTGATGTGAAGAGAGGCCTCTTCGGTTATCCTGGGATATGTTGTTTTCCCAACATGCTCAGTGACACTGATAGCCCCTAGAAAAAGTACATTTCCAAACATTCCATGTGCTAGGGAGGAAGAACAAGGGACATGGGAAGAGAGAGAGAAAAATGATTTCTGTCCTTATTGCTGTATGTACAGAAGCTGAGGTAAAGGTAAGAGAATGGAGGGAAGGATTGCTGCAGGCACACAGTAAAGGGTTTTAGTGGCATACAAGTGGGTCAGTGGATGAGCGGGTAAATTGCAGCTATGAGAAAAGTTTTGATTCTTTTAAGAAAATATTTTATTCAGGTGTTTTCTACCTTGAGGTGATTACCAATCACTATCCAAAGCAGTGGTCGCCAACCTTGGCTTCCCAGATGTTCTTGGATGACAACTCCCAGAAATCCTAGCCAGCACAAACAAGGCTGAGCACTACTGATCTAAACTGAGCCTCATGAATAGAGATGGGCACCAACCTCGGTTTGGAGGTTTGTGCTGGTTCGTACTGTATATGTGGCACCAACAGGAGCCCTGTGTTCCCTTCCCCTGCCTCTCAGCTGGATGCCCCGTTAACCAGCTGGTGTGCGATCCTCTCCTCCTCCTCCTTGGCTGTTTGACCAGTCTCTGGCGGGGACACAGGCTTCTATGTCCTACCTCCTTGGTGAATCGCCCGCTTAGACAAGGAGGCAGGAGAAGCAAACCCGTGCTCTTGCCGGGGACTGTTTGAACAGCTGAAGAGGAGGAGGAGAGGAGTGCTCTCCGACTAGGGAGTGGGTCATTGGCCAGGGAGGTGGAGGAAAGGAAAGTGTGGCACCTTTCGTGCTGCACGCACAAACTGGCACAAACCTCCGAACTGAAATTCATGCCCATCTCTACTTGGGAAGCTTGCCTGTTTCTGCAAAAATGAGTCTGTTTTTCCTCTCATTATTCTGGCTTTCAGCGTTTAGGAATTGGCCTTTAAATCTTTCAGACCCTGTGCTTGATGTGTTACTTGGTTACATGCGAAGAATCAGTCTGTTTATGCGTCTGTTTTGTTAAGATAAGGAAGTAATAGTTTTTCCTTTTCCTTTCCTTTTGTTTTTTGGGTGGCAGTGTTTTTGCATATGCGAAGAATCAGTCTGTTTATGTGTCTGTTTTGTTAAGGTAAGGAAGTAATAGTTTTTCCTTTTCTTTTCCTTTCCTTTGTTTTGTTTTTTGGGTGGCAGTGTTTTTGCAGCAACTTCTGTTACAGAGCATCCAAATACTTTGAAAATCAGATATCCCCAAGTCCAGTCTGGCTCCGAGATGAAGAAAGGTAATTGGATAACTAATAATACAAGTTGTCTTTCAGAATGTTGCTTTGCTAGGGATTCCCCAGGGTTCTCTTCTTAGGTATCAATAGAATAAGTATTATCTTTGTTTGCAGTGGTTTTGAGATGTGCTCTTTTGTCAAAAAACGTGGAATGTATCATTGAATAAGCAGACTCATTATTTGGTTTAGCTATAGCTGTGCACTTGGGGAGACTCACTTCAGTGAGGAGTTTGTGGTAAAGATTGTGGTCTTACTCAGCCCTCTCTGGAGAAGTCAGAAATTGAAGCTGAAACCTGCTTGTAGGCAAAACAGGGCTGATATAAGTTACAAGCCTTTGCCTAACAAAGGATAACTCTTGAATATACAATGTTGTTTTTATTTCCATACATGGGACAACTTACTTTTTTGAGACCAATAATATCATCCAGTCAATTCCAAGTTATGGTGACCTTTCCAGAGTTTTCTAGGTAGAGTGTACCCAGAAGTGGTTGACCATTCCCTTCTTCTGGGGGTGCCCTGGGACTGTGCAGCTGGCCCATGGCCACACAGGCTGGCTGTTCTCCTGGGATGCACAGTGGAAAACTGAAATCCTAACATTTGGCTCTGCAGTCAGGTAATCACAACTCACTGAGCTATCCAGCCAGTTTTTTGGGACTGCAATTCCCAAAATTGAAGTGTAGTAAAAACAACAGCACACACAAACTTTTCTCATCTGTACCTTTTTATATATACAGTTGCTTGTTGAAGTTTTGTATATTTTACCGTGTTGTATAATGGTCACATCCTTTTAGTTGCTTTGAAACTGCAGGTGCTCCACCACTGAATTCAATGATAGAAGGATCAATGCCTAGGACCTAGTATTGTGGCCTGGTTCAAGTCTATACTTACCCTGTTTCCTCAAAAACAAGACAGGGTCTTATATTAATTTTTGCTCCAAAAAATGGATTAGGGCTTATTTTCAGGGGATGTTTTATTTTTTTCATGTACAACAATCTACATGTATTCAAATACAATCGCTTCTTCTTCTTCTGGTTGCTGCACAATGGTGGAGGGCAGGGTTTCACTTAAATAGGGCTTATTTTTGGGGTAGGGCTTATATTACAAGCATCCTGAAAAATCTTACTAGGGCTTATTTTCAGGTTAGATCTTATTTTCAGGTAAACAGGGTAGCTGTGCAACTCACTGAGTGGCCTTGGAACAGCCACTCTCCTTCTGCCTGGCCTGCCTCACAAGGTTGTAGTTGGGATAAAGTTAGGAAGAGAGCCGTTTATATCACATTGAACTTATTTGAGGAAAGGCAGCATGTAAATGCTGCTAATGCATAACTAATAAGCAAACAGAAAATGACAGGGAGCTTGGGGCAGTGCTGACTTGGGGCTCTGATGTTTGTTGAAAAGTAATTTTTAAAAGCAGTGGCATGTTTGCAGTTTTCATCCACCCTCTGCAGTGTGTATCCATTCACTGAAGTGAGTGATTCATGGGGAACCAACAATTATCTCTGCCGTCACAGTGCTTGATTTGAAAGCTTCCATCACAGACCCCCATCTCAGGTCTTTTTTGTCTAAAAGGCAGGATTATCTTGGCTAATCTTATTAGAATAGCTGTTCTAATTTTAGCAGTAACACCAAAATAAGACTCTGGTCCAGTCTTTGAAAACATTCAGTGGTGAAATAGCCACTGCATTTATTTTTAGATGAGGTGTTTCTTGGGTAGCTGCCCTGCTTCAAACATGACCTTTTGCAGAGAATCCAGATGTTATTGCTGATGTCCATTTGTAATTTGCCTGGGTTTTCAAAAAATTTCTTCCATCTTTTTTTTCTTATTGCAGAAATACTGCACCACAATGTCTTTTGATTAGTAGAACAACAAGTCCTCTCTTTGGAAGCCCCCATAGATCAGATGGGGTTGTCCTACAAGGCAGATAAGGAATATGCCTTCTGTTGCTTCTGCTGCAGCAGGAAGTGCTATTTTTGCCTGGGCTAAATAGAAAAGTTATGATTTGTTACAAATCAAGAGCCAGAGTGGTATAGTGGGCAGCATGTTGGACTGGGAGATTGGGGTTCAAAACCTTCTAGGCCATTGAATGTCACAGGAGAGTGATGAAAATGAGGTCCTTCTTACCCCAGCGGGTAAGAGAACATAACCGGAAGTGACATTAGACTGTTTTCAGGTAAAATTAATGGGGAGATTTATTTAAGTTTAACGTGGAGAATAGAAATAAATCCTAATGTCTTTTGTTAGTTGAGGAAGAATGAAACATTTTGAAGTAGAAATCAAAATAGCAACATTCCATGAAGAGAACGATAACATTTATAAAAATCAAACTAGTTGTTACACATAGGATTTTTCCCATGCAAAGCAGACTGTGATTCAGTTTTCACTACAGCTGTTTGAATAAATACAATCCCAAACAAACTAAATCAACTTGTTAAATGAAATCTGCGGCATACAAAATCGAGGCGTATGAAAGGAGCAACCACATGTAGTATTTATTATCTAGCACCACCTAAACTCCCTCCAGCTCTGACTTTTAGAAGCAAAGCTGACAAATCAAAACATGAATTAATCAAAAACTAAAATATTATATCTACCTAATCCAACGTAGAGGGGTGAAGAGCTTGGTCCTGTAGGTCCAGAGAGGGAAGTCCAGCAGAGCCTTCTCCTAGATCCCAGAGAGACTCAGTAGAAAAGTTGGGATGGGAGAGGAAAAGTTGTCCTCCCTTGGGAAAGGAACAGGATCAGGAACAAGATTTTAGGGGAAGGACTGAGGGGAGAAAATCCTCTTCTCTCAGGGTGCAGTGGCTTTTTGTTCCATTGACACCCCTAAAGTTTCCTGCTTTCTAATTGCTTTCTTTACCTTCTTCCCCAGTTGCTAACTACAAGGTGGTTCTTCATTGGCAAATAAAGTGATGGGGCCAAAACCTGTGGAAACAATTCTCTGTTGTTTTCAGGGAGTGACATAACCCTAGGCACTGTACAGTGGTGCCTCGCATAACGAGTGCACCATTTAATGACGAATTCGCATAACGATCCGTTTTTTGGGATCGCTAATGCGATCGCATACCGATGGTTCCAATGGGCAAAATTCACTTTGCGACGATCGGTAAGCGTTTTGCTTACCGATCTTCACATTGCGATGTCGGGGGAACAGCTGATCGGCGGTTCCAAAATGGCCACCAGAAGACCCAAAATGGCCACGTGCAGCGTTTTTGCCCCCTGCCTCGCTTACCGAGGGCGCGAAAATGCCTGCGCTATGGAGGAACATGGCTGAACGGTGAGTTTAGGGCCCATTGGAACGCATTAAATGAAGTTTAATGCGTTCCAATGGGTTTTTCTATTCCGTTTAGTGATGTTTCCGAATAGCGATGGTTAATCCGGAACGGATTAACCTCGCTATGCAGGGCACCACTGTATCTCTGTAAAAGAAACTTCCTAGACTCATGGGGTAGCAACCTTCCATGGGTGTACACATCATGTATCTGTCTCCATACTGGCCCATTGTTTCGGGCTCAGAGAAGCTGTGCCAACATCATAGAGTTGTTCCCAGTATCCCGTTTTCCATGTATCTAGTATTTCCTGCATATTTCATCTGAGCCATCTTCATGCCCCTTCTTCTGGTTTGTTTCCCTTTTGAACCCTCTGTTCCTGACATATACTGTACATGTGTTCAGGAGAGGACCTGAGTAACAAGTGGCAGCAGTTAACCATTCCTTGAATAAAACAAAAATTATTAGGTTCCTCATAAGGCAGATGGCTTGCAACTAACTGAGTCCCCACTGGGTGTCACTTTTCCACAAGATATTTACTATATGAAGGCAAAAGGACCCACAGGTTTTATAAATGACATCACGATCCAGTTATATATTGGGTAAATAGAAGTATTAGTTCTAAATTTAGAACTAAGCCCCCACCTCCACAATATAGGTGGAACACTTAAAATGTGAATTTTCAGAAAACCATAAAATTAAATAACTTCAATTTTATTGTAGGTTTTTTTTTGTTTTGTTTTTGGTAAATGGAAGCTAACTACAGTATCCAAAAGACTTTAAGATGATGTCAGGTATCAGCTTCAGAGAGGGTCCCCTCCCCCCTGACCCTATTTTCTGTAATGAAAATACGCTACAGAAGTAAATACATTGCATTGTAAACTTTCTGCTCAGACTTTCTGATCCAGCTGTTGTTGAGGTCAGTAAGGCTTTGCTAGAGAGAAGTAATAAGAAGGCAAAAGAACCTCCCAGCATTTTGGTGCTTGGAGCAAAGAAAGCGATGTTGCCTATCTGGTAACAATACCCAAAGGGCTAAATTGAATACCCTGTTTCCCTGAAAATAAGATCTAACCTGAAAATATGCCCTTGTACAGTGATGGTGAACCTATGGCATGCATGCCACAGCTGGCACCCGGAGTCCGTTCTGCCGGCACACGAGCCATAAGTCGCCAGATCACTACTCCCTCCCCCCCCCCGTAGCCAAACCTGAGCAGATGGCTGCAACCGTGGTGCTGGTGCCCGGACAGGCAGCAGGTCAGGATCTGGAGTAGCTGGTGCTGGCAGCGGATCCCGAGTGGGGTCTCGAGGCACCTCTGTGCCCGGGATTCTCCCTTCCACAGCCACTTCCAGTTCCGCCACCACCACTTCTAGGCAGCACACTGCCCCCTGTTTTTTCCCCCCAGTTTGGGCACGCAAGCCCAAAAAGGTTCGCCACCATTGCCTTGGTATGATTTTCAGAATGCTCATAATATAAGCCAAACCCCCAAAATAAGCCCCAGTTAAATGAAACCCTGCCCTCCACCATTGTTGTGCAGCAACCAGAAGAAGATGATATGGCTGTATTTGAATAAATGTAGATTGTTATACATGAGAAAAAACATCCCCTGAAAATAAGCCTAATGCATGTTTTGGAGCAAAAATTAATATAAGACCCTGTCTTATTTTCAGGGAAACATGGTAGTCATTCCTATTAGACGTTGAATGAATGGACGTTTTGAAGTCAACATTTCTGTAACCCCTGTTGATTCAATGTGTCTAATTATGTTGAACAGTTGATTTTTAGTCCTAAATAACTGATTTAATCCTGAAATACAGTGGTGCCACACTTGACGATGTTAATTCGTTCCAGCGAAATCGCTGTAGAGCAAAAACATCATCAAAGGAAACGAAAAAACCCATTGAAACGTATTGAAAACCGTTCAATGCGTTCCAATGGGCTGAATACCTGCTCATCCAGCAAAGATCCTCCATACGGTGGCCATTTTCGGTGCCTGTAAAGCGAGGAATCCATCCTAGAAAACAGCAGGGGGCCATTTTCTTCAGCCGGCAGCCATTTTGAAACCCAACAATCAGCTGTTTGCTGATCGTTGTGAAGGGAAAAATCGGTTCCCGAAGCAGGGAACCGATCATCGCTATGCGAAATTCCCCCATTTAAACTATCGTTTTGCGATCACAAAAACGTCATAGTAATGTGGATTCGTCGTAGAGCGGGGTAATCATCCAGTGGGGCATGACTGTAATCCTGCTTGAGGAATGAAACCGTTTATAAAGATCCCTGAGAATAGACTGGGGTATGCCTTCTGTTCTGTGTGAAAAAATGGCAATGTCTGCCCTCATCCACACACTGCAGTGATTAAAAGAATTTATTTATTTATTTATTTATTTATTTATTTATTTATTTATTTATTGCATTTATATTGTGCTCAATAGGTACTGCCCATCCCATCGTGAGATAACGTTATGTGTATGGAAAGTGGATCTTATGATCTGAACATTGCATATCCAGAGCCACATTTACTTTTGACAAAGAAAGTTCCACAAACTTTAGAGAAGCTTCTCCTTGGCTTTCTTGATTAAGGGAGTGCTCGGCTTCCATGTGTGGAGCATTGCTTAGCACAGCCACGATGGAAGTCCCTGAAAATGTGGCTTAAAGATTTTTCAGTGATTTTGCTTTTTTTTTTTTTCATTTTATTTGGGTGGGTCTATACGCTCCCTAATTTTAATGATATTCCAAATCATAAAAATTATTTTAAAATGTCTTCAGACTGGCACAGATATACCAGAGATAAGATGTTTCAGAAGTAGCTGCTGCATAACATTATTGTATTGCCATTAACAGACTGGAGGTGGTCATCAGGATGACTGCACAAATATTTGGTCTACATTGCAAGCTTATTTGTAAGGATTGTTTCTGGTCAATTTTCTCCTGGCCATTCATAGACTGTGCTGCCGTAAATGTGCTTACGTTGGTATGAGATGGATGTCTTGCTGAGTGAACATACATTAGATTGTGTTATATAATTCGCAGAGTTATCTTAATGCAGGTTAGGCCTATGAATATTAAACACAGGAACGTAAAGACATTGGCTGAAATCTAGTAATACTTCACATCTCAAGTCAGCCCATTTGAATCAATGGAGTTGACTAACCAAATCCCCAGTGATTCACTGGTCCTACTCTGTTGTTGTTTAGTCATGTCCAACTCTTCGTGACCCCATGGACCAGAGCCCGCCAGGCCCTCTCCTGTCTTCTCTACTTCTCTACAGTAGGGCCTACTCTAGATGTGGTTTACTACTGGACTTCAACCATTATCTCCCATTAGGAGGTCACTCATTCAGAGTTGCGTAAATCAGAGACGAGTTGGCGGCACATAAAAACAACAGCAGGGTAGGATTTTTTTGAGCTGTATTGGTTAATACTCTTTAAACCTTCAGATAATGGTTCTCTTGAATCAATACATAACTCAAGCCAATTCCTGAATTATCATTTACAATAATTTTTTTATATTTTTATTTTTAAGGCCACCAGACATTGAATTACTACAACAGGGGGCAAGGTACAGTATAACTCTTTATTTTGTTTGTTTGCTTGCTTGCTTTGTTTTGTTTATGCTTCCACAATCTGACTGAACAAAGTCTTTGATTTTTGGTTTTCTTCTGCCATATGACTACAGTTATTGTAGCCTCCACAAAGACCTGTTTGCTTTGATTGTTCGAGTGTGGCTTCTTTTTTTTCTCCCCCTTTTTCATTTTGTGATGATGAAAAGAGTGTTTGATCTGTATGATTTTCAGCTGCCCCTAATACTATAGTTTAATAGAACCTGCTGAAACGCGAGGCAAATGCAGTGTTTGCTCTCAATTCTGGTGCATCAGTTTTCATATATGGCTTCCTTTGTAAATTGAATGGAACCAATTATATGTGCTGAAAGCTTGTTTACTTCTTCAGGTAAAACATTAAACAAGAAGGTCTGCTGTTTTTGAATTTATATTGATACATAAAAGAAAAATTTGGCTAGATCTGCAATCTGTGGGGTTTGTTCTTTGTTCCCTCAATGGCTGTCTTTGCTTGCATCCCTGAGGGTCTTTTTTTTTACTTCATTTAAAACAGAACATAGCAATTCACAGTACTTGCTCTTCTAGTAATAATAGTGCGGCAGAAATGTGTGGCACATTGTACTTTAAAACTTATCTTTAATCTTTCTTTCTTTAAAGTGCAGTAGTAATTTAAGTCAGTGTTTCCTGGACTTTTGTCTTTCTATCAGTCTTGCTCAGTGCTAGGCTCACCATCTGAGGCTGCCTGCCATCTGGTCCACCCTCACCTGTGAGGCAGGGAACAACTGGAGAGAGAGAGAAAGAAACTTTGCTGCAATGATGCCCCGTTGATATGCACTTCCTCTTGCGCCCACTTTGCTGCCTTTTTGGCAACAGGCAATAGCCATTTTATTTCTTCACCTTACTGGCCAAAATTGTCTTGCTTAGCATTGTAAATTGCACTAAAGAAGGCCGTTGAATCTATGGGAATTGAGTGAGTCATCTCTTTGGTAAGTTCCATTGATTCAAATGGGCCTACTCTGTGATTTACTAAGTTAAAGTGAGTCTCAGTTAGAGAAGGCCTATATGAATCAATGGTACTTAATGGAATTGACTCATCAAATCCCCATTGACTCAATGGACCTAGGTTTAGTGAGACTTGTTATGCTAAGCAACAGGACTTTCACCATTATTTTGTTAAGTGTCTACTGTTTTGTAGCTACAGGGATTTCCATATCCTGCTCTGATTTCTTTTTTAATTTTTTTTTATTTTTGCTTTTCAGTTTTCTTGATTACATTGTTATGACTTAGAACTACAAAAATGTTGCAGCATGGAATTATGTTTTCTCTACCTTTATATATACATTTTATCCCCACCCTTGTTAACATTGGGCATGCTCAGTATTCTTTGGGATCTTGGGTTCAAACTCATTAGGAGGGGTTCTGACTGGTGAAAGAGAATGCACCTCTGCAAAATTTGGATTTCCCCCAAGCCTACTGAAATATTTTCTATAAAGTCATCTCTGCCTTCTGCAAAGCCACAGCATTCTGCGTTCGAACCTCAGAAAAAGAAAGATGGGTGTGTGTTTTAGTTTTTATTTTATTTTATTTAAATGAAATCAGCTCTGGGAACATTTGAAGCATGTGCCATTTGAAAGATGGAACAAAAGAGGTATAAATAAAGTAAAACAATTCAATCCATTTTTGGAGGATTAAGACAGCTCCCTGGCTTAATAAAGTAGCAATTTGGCACTGTTGGGGTTAATGGGCAGAGTTTTAAAAAAGAAACTTGGGTTTTACTGGAGAAAGCAAGGAGGTATTGACATTCTGTTCTCCACGCAGGCTTATTAGGAGGAGAATGTGTGTCAGGATGAATGTCTGTCTCTCTTTCCTCTCTTGGAATTTGCTCCATGTTTGCAGCATCATCTCTGTTTTTCTCTGTGTCCTGCTTTAGTTTTCAGAAAAAGAAAAGAGGTGTGTAAAATAATCAACATTAGGAAACAAGGGGAAGGAAGGCCCAAATGGTAGTTTGTGTATTCTTTGCTCCAAGTTTAGTCCCAGCTTGCTTGAGAGAAGTATGAGAAGCTTGTTTGAGAGATTATTGTAAGCTTCCTTGAGCACTATCTAGCAGTGGAAGGAGGAGCAGAAACGTATTCAGTAACAATAATAAATAAATAAGGGCTATTGTCCTTAGTTAAAGTAGATGTTTTACAAAATCTTGGTGCAGTGTTTGGAAAAGTTACTTATTTGACTATGGCTCAGGGGATCCCCCAGGCAACATAGTCAAGCTTTCGCCTTTGTGTTTCTAATTATCACCATCATTGTCTTCACAGGGGCCACTCTGGGAAGGAAGTCAAATTAGTTGATGAAGACATTAAACCTTTAGACATCGAAAATCCTGTCCCCGAAGCCACCCTAAGTGACTCTGGATCAGATAGTGAGAGCAGCAGTGATGCTGAGCAAGAATTTGTTTCATCCGTCCTGCAAGAGAACCTGCCAAAGGTAGGAAAGGGTGTTTCACTGGCGTCCCAAAAGAGCAAACTGAAAAAAAGCCCTGCTGGGAAGGCCCGCCCCAAGCCTGTCGCGACGGAAGATGCAGTTAATGGGGCAGCAGAGCAGCTCAGCAGGTGCCATTTGGAGGCCCTAGAAAAGAACCCCACGGTTCCTGATAACCCTGAAGCCGAAAGAACCCACAGTTCTAGTCAGAGTCTAATTTCGAACACTGTACAGGCTTCAGAAGGCTCACAGCTGGTTTTCCTTGGGGTGAGTCACAAAGGGGCAGAACACCTGAAGAGGTTGCTTGCGAAATCCAAACACCCTGTCCAACAAGAGTCAAGAGGTCAGGGAGACCCTCTTGTGGCCAAAGGGAGTTTGTTGGAAGGTCTCAGGCAAACGTTTGCTGAATGGAGGACTGAAGAGACATTGAGACTTCTCTATGGTTCCAGCTTCTCGAGTGCCCATGTATCCCAGCAGATCTCGCCCGCCAGTTGTGAGAAAGAAGACCTTGATGAGGATGATTTGGACGGTGCTGATCTACTGAAGGCTGCTGCTTTTGAAGAGGACTCTTTCAACAGCTTCGACCCGCCTTCGCCTTTCAAGGGCTCCAGTACAGCAGCCAAACCTTTACCGAGTTATGAAAAATTGAAAGAAGAGACATCACAGATGAAATTAAAGGTGAGGGAATTTTATCAAGGAAAGTTCACCTCAGCTGAAGAAGATTTGGCGGCCCAATCTGAAAAGGAACAGCGCCATAGCAGCACTGAAGTAAGTGTCTTGACTACATCCTCCCTTTTCCTCAAAGGCCAACTTGGGTTCTAGTGTTTTTCTTGAAGTAATTGTGTTTAAAGTACTACAGCTAGGTACGTTGGGGCCATAACATGAGGCATGATGTGTCCTTGATTTCTCCCAAAATGTTGAATTCAGATGAGCCACTAGAAGACTGTTTAGTATGAACTTTTATTTTATTTTATTTTCCATGTCACCTTCCTCCCAATTAAGGGATCCAGGGTGTCTCACAAATTATTAAAAAAAAACAAAGTGAATAAAACCACAATAAATTATAATATTAAAAACAGTCAAAATATAAGTGTATTAAAACGAATACAGTAGTTTAAACTGTTAAAACAACTTAAACACAGTAAAAAAAAACACAAAATAATAATCACATCCAACACACAAGATCAAAAACGGACTAAAAATCTGTCGAAAAAAAAGATGGTCTTCACCTGTCCCCAGAAGGGCACGAAGGAGGGGGCCAATCTAGCCTCTTGGAAGAGGATATGCTCCTACCTGGGAGCAGCCACAGAGAAGGCCCTCTCTTCTGTGCCCACCATACATCCTGTGAAGGTGATGGGACCGAGAGAAAGCCCTCTCTTGAAGACTAGAGGAGCCAAGAAGGCAAATATGGGGACATACAGTCCTTCAGGTAGCCTGGATCCAAGCCGTGTAGGGCTTTACAGGTCATAACCAGCACTTTGAATGGGACCAGGAAACAGACCAGCAGCCAGGGAAGCTGCTGTGATAGGGGAATGATATGCTGCACATCACTGGCACCAATCAGAAGCTTGGCTGCAACATTTTGAACCTCAGTGAGATTTATTGTTGAGTTCTTAGGTGCAGAACTGCAGGCTAAGCTTACCTCCTGGGAATAAGCCTTGTTGAGTTGAATGGGACTGACACTGAAGTACACAGACACTAGCCTTCTCTTTCTAGTAAGGGAAAAAATGGCTGGGGGTGGGGGGAGATGCATTGCATTTCTGTGGCCTTAAGACATCCCAGAGAAGTGTGCTTGTGCTCTCTCTCCCTCTCTCTGGCTTCCTTCTCCAACCACATACTGTTCCAGCATTTCAAAAAAATACAAAAAAAAAAAAAAAATAAACAGAGCAAGTCCCACACTGGGACTGCAAAAAAAATAATAATCCAAAAACAAAACAACATAGCACAGAAACATAACCCCCCCAATCCAAACCCACCGTCCAAAACCCACCCAGAACAGTTTTTTAAAAAGGAAAAAGTAGCACCTTACCAGTCCGAAGCCTCCTGGGCTTCCACCACTGCTGTGACCGCCGGCAGCGGGAGGCCTGAGCCTGGTGGGGGTGCCTCGGCCGCTCGCCTCCCACTTGCTCCGCGCCACCCTCCATGGGCCGATGGCGGGAAATTCAAATGGCGGAGGGTGGCGAGGATGAGCAGGAGGTGAACCGGGAGGTGAGCAGCCGAAGAAACCCGGCCAGCTCAAGCCTCCCGGTGCCGGGCGATCGCTGCCTCTGCCGCCCCCACCAGAGCAACCAGGAGGCTCAAGCCTCCTGGCTCTGGGCTGCCCCCACTGCATCCCTTTCCCTAACCATTGGGGTGAAAGAGCTACAAAGACGCAGCCTCTTCGCCACCAACAGTTAGTAAATTCAAATTTCCCGCCCTTTCCCCCTGCCTTTTTGTGTTTGTAAGTGGAAGCGCCGTTCGCAAGTCGAAGCAACATTTTGCGGTCGGAGCGGTTCATAAGTCGAGATGTTTGTAGGTAGGGACGTTCGTAAGTCGAGGTTCCACTGTATTTTCTTGAAGCTATGAGAGGCATTTGAAAAATAATTGCAGAAATAGTAGCAAAGCAGTTCCATGAGGAGAGAGAACATTTTTTAAAATAAAAAAAAACTAGAACATAGTGTCAGCATTGTTGACACTTCTCCAAGTTTGGCACAGAGTAAACCCATATTATGTACACTGCCAATTAGGGTCCTTGTTCAAGAATCAGTTCAAAAGTTTTAGCTATTTGTTTGCCCTCTTTCCTTCTATTACTAATGACGTATGAAATGCTTTATTGATTGGCTATCTAATGTTAAAGGTGCAACTCCTGCGCACCTCTGATTACAATTATAACTTAACGAGGCATGACTTTGTGCCTTTTGTAGTGGGACTATTATTTTTAGTTGCTGAAGGGCAGGCACTCTGTGTTTTGTACTACAGGTATAAGCAAGTAGCTGCCTATGATTTTTCCCCCTGAAGTAACTAAAAAAGCAAGCATTTCAGTTAGTTCTGGGAAATGCCAAAGTAGTGAATTCGGTTTCAGGAGTATAACCGCAACAGTAACTCACTTTGGGAGAAGCAGCTGTCAGAATTATGTTTTCACTGCCTAGTTTTTAAAAGTAATTTTTTAAGCCCTGGAGGATTCCACAGTTGGGGGGAGACATCCATGAAAAGAACACCTCTTTTGTGTGCACCACCTTAATAGATCTCAGTAGCAATCAATTGTAAGGTTGAGACTAATCTCAGACGGATATGGGTGAAGGTGATCTTTAGATAATTTTCCGCATTCAATCTGGTTCGTTATATTTTGCACTTGCTTCTACGGCCCTACAAAATTTGCTCCATCTCTAATGCATTTTAATGAGTTTGATAGTCCAGTAATGGCTGAATAATGGCTGTTTTGTTTTTACCATTGTGTAGGATGATCAGCAGTGGATTCCTGTTTTGCCACTTGTCGATTCCAGTGCTCAACAGCAGATTCGGACACGGATAGTGCTTGAAAAACTGCAAAAGGTGTACGTATCCTTTTTGCTAATGCTAGCCCAGCATTTTCAAGCAAACCGGCCACCTAGATACAGCAGAATTACCCAACCAGAATTACTAGGAGTAGTATCTGTGATGAGTGGGGAGTTTTAGAAATTATCATTCAAAAAAGTAACTTTGCCATGCTCTGTCGTTGATCTAGAATTGTCATATCATTTTGGTGGAGCAGGCTAACATCACTGAGATGGGACAGGTCCACTGAGTCAAGTATTTTTTCAACTGGGCTAGCAACCACCAAGGATTTGATGGATGTGAAACGAACCCTAGACCTTGGAAGGAAACCCATTCCATTCACCAAATATTTTTCTTTTGAAAAGGCTTTTCCCCCTGCCCAAAAAGTCCCCTCATAGTCTAGTAGCCAACATTTCTCTCTCTTTTTTTAAAGATACAAAAAAGTGGGGGCATCTGAATTGGGAGGAACAATGTAACGTGGCCAGAGTCCCTGGAGCACACAAGAGTGGGGGGGGGGAACCCCTCTTGGACCCCACTTGGCCTAATGTTGCTTTAAGGGAAGAGGCTACATTATGAAGTACATCTAAATGCTGCATGAAGCTCCCGGTAGTTGCACGCTCCCACCCACCCATTTGAAGGGTTGTGTTTTTTGTTTTTGTTTTTTCTTTGGGGGGGGGGGTTGCTCAATTTTGCTTTTTCTCAAAAATGGCTATTGGAGCCAATTTTGCCACATTTGGGGTTCTCTGTCATCCCTGGGCCCATCATGTAACCCCGAAGTGGTTTCGTGACTTCTTGAGAAATTGGTCGCTAGAGACCATGAGAGGGATTCTTCAAGGGAAAAAAATGCATTTAAAAATATTTGGAAAGGCACAAGAGCAGGTGCAGTCCTCCAGGATCCAACTACGTTAGTCTCAGACTCTAGCAGTTACCCACCTCTGATGACCAATGAGGGGAATTCTTATTTCAGTGACCTCACTTTACTTTCTTTTCAGGTTGCCTGTTGTATTGGGCCCTCTTCGGATTCCTCTTGGTGATGTTTATAGTGAAATGAAAAACCTGGTTAAAACATTTAGGTAAGTTCAAGTGACTTTTAAGGACTTTGACTTAAATAATGCCAAGAGGAGGTGGCGCTAATGTGTGGCAAGCTGCAAAATGATCTCCTATGACTATGAGAACACAAGGGAAAGATGAGAATCCTGAAGTTGGAACAGAACTTGCAGGCCTTCTAACTTTGTAGAGGCAAAGTTTGAAAGTCGAGGTATTTAAAATTAAACTTGGGTTGTGTGTGTGTATTTTGCAAGCATTTTCTTTCTCCTTCCCTCTATTCAGCTCTAGCTGGAGTAAGTAGCTCTTATCATCATAACAACCTTGTTAGGTAGGCCCAGTTGAGAGATTGTCATGGTCCAAAGTTACCAGTATGGTCCATGGCCAAATCAGATTAGAACTTATGTCTCCCGAGTTCTAGTCCAACATTCTAACCACTTCAAGACATTGTCTCTAATATACAGAAGACTGCTTTGTAAAGCAGAATCAATTGTCTTACTCAGATGTTTCTTATTTTTGTTCCGTATTTTAAATCAAGCTTTTAATCCTCCATCCAAAGTGACAGAGGTGCTGCGTTACCAGACTACGCCAGGGGGCGTAATGGTGAAGTGAACTGCTCAGAGATGAAACCAAACAGACACTGTTGTAGTGTTGAAAGTATTATTTACATTAAAGTCCATATATACAGGGGTAAATACAGCTTCTCTTGGTCTTTATACAGTCCTGGTCATTCACAGTAGTTCTTCAGTTAGCAATGGTAAATTTACAGTTTCAGTAACTAAATATTGTTACCAATGTAAAGAGTCCTGCATCCACGAAGTCTTCTCCTCTCACCACGGAGATAGTCTTCCTCCAGGATCTTCTCCTTGCAATATGGCAAGTCTTCATCCAACGATGCAGTAAATACAGTTCTCAGCAACACGATCACCAGCAACAATACAACCAACCAACCACCCAAACTACCCAACTATCCAAACTACCCAAACTACCCAACAGTTTGTCTCTGCAAGCTTGGCTAGCTTTATTCTTGGATGAACCAATCAACTTGGTTGTCACACAGCTGTCTCCATTAACTCAGCTGTGTTCCTTTGTAACATGTTGCTCTCTAAATCTGATCCTGTAACAACTTATACACTGAATTGCAATGAACAATTCCCTAGGTTGACTTTGAGACCTGTCACAAAGGATTAGAGCTAGTCTTGCTTGTTGCATCAGGAGACGACAGTCTCATGCCTTTTGCTTACTTATGCACATTCCTTATTCATAAAAATACAAGAATACAAAAAAAAGAACAAGCACAACAAATTAGATATGGCAAAATAAGTGAGGCATGATAGCCTTTATGGCAGCAGTCCTGTGAATATTTAGCTGAGAGGAAGCCTCACTGAGCACGTTACCTCATCACTTCATGAAGTCATAAAGCTGCCTCTTGACCTGATCATTTTCATTCACTTCAGAAGTCAACAGTGTAGCTGTGCTGGTGTTCTCCTCAGCTTTGACTACCGCAAATGTAGAAATGACTAACTGTGGTAAGGATACAATGAGGCCATGAGAAATCTCCAGAAATTTAAGAGAGGGATAAAATTGCTAGGCAGCAAAAAGGAATGCCTAAATCACTATGGTACTCCTCATCACCATTTCTTTTAGAAGACCAGTAAAAAAAGCTGTCTCAAGAGACATTAATTATGCTTGCTAACAAACAGGATTTAACGAGCAGTCCTCTTTTTAGCATGATAGACAATTTATGATAATAATATGATCTATACTATATTTAATAGTATATCATACATTTGTTTTGTAGGAATATTTCATTAATATTTTGCTTTTCCTGCTGTACATAGTACTCCCTCAGCTTTTTTCAGATCTTTATAACCTGAAGTAAATTTTGTTGGGAAATATTCATAGCACTGCTGACATAAAGGGTGTTTTAGCTCGCTTATTTTGTTATATCTAATTTGTTAGAAGATCACCATGTAACTAGCCCATGCTTGCTCTGTGAACCTTTATGCCCAGCCCCAGTGGTGTTAACTGCTGTACCTACTACCTCTAGAGTAATTGCTCTTAAAGTACAGTCTAGGAAACCATACTTGTAAAATTGTATGAAGCGATATCACGTAAGAGTTGCAGTTCAGTTCACCTGGTTAACACCATGTTTGACATGGTCACCATGTCATTTTATTTCTCCAGAAAGAGGATTTCTCAACCAAGGGGTTTTGCTCCAGATTTGGTCACCTCATTATCAGAGTCTGTGACAATGTTTTTAAAACCCGTATTCACAAATGTGTTCGCCAGTTCAGGCACGGTAGCTGTCTGTGGAAAAAGCAGACATATCCAGAGCATTTGTCAGGAAAAAGAAAAACCCTTAATGACTTTTATTAAATAGCTAAAAGTGTCACAAGCCAGAAAATAAAGCAACAATCAAAAGCAGTCAGATAGTTTAAGTATTTCCTTTATCTATGAATGTTTAGTGTAAAAAAAGAAAACAATGGGGAGAAAGCAGCAAGGAGTAAAGAGCATGTGGCTGTACTCCACAACAGCCCTTTTCAGCTTCATTGGTTTTTAAAGGAACACTTGCAGTTCATCCTCTTTTTTGCACCATTTCATTCAGTCACCACTGCTGGGAAATACACTAAAGAGTTCTCTGGAGACGTTTTAGAACAGTTATAGTTCTTCCTAAGCACAGTCCCTCAGTGCCTGTAAGCTTTTGTTACAAAAACTGAGATGTGAAATAATCTCCAGAGTCATCTGGAGCATTTTGTTGGAAGAGTGCAGTGTGTGTATATGTACATTTGCACCGTGGGGGAGGAGATGTTGACACAGAAATCTAGGCTAAACAATGAAGTTGTCTAGTGTGATTTTGTTGCTGCTATTTAGTATTTTCTAAAAGCTTGACAATTACGGGCTCTGGATTTTTCTAATCAAGAGAAAAGGGGAGCACATTTTTGCTTATGGGAATGGGGCATAAATCTAGCTACACATCGTCTCAGCTCTTGGTGTGGCTGATCTTCAACTCACCATACGAATCTTACTTCTTTTCTTTTTTTAAAATCAATTTTTATCACATAAAGACCATTTTTGTCTGCTGTGAAAATGTTTTTACTAATTATAAAAACTGTTCATTTGCAGAAACATTTCTTCATTCCTTTTGAACCATTTATTAGGTTGACTTAACATTTATATGTTTAACATTGCAAATCATGGCACAAACATCTTCAATATAAAGTTGTAGTTGTTGTTGTTGCTATGCAGTACAAAGTCACCTTTGACCCAAGACAATCCTATGAACGAGTGACTTCCACAATGTCCTGTCACTAACAGCCCTGCTTAGCTTTGGCAATCCTGGGCAGTGGCTTCCTTATGAAGTCATTTCATCTCATATTTAGTCTTTCTGTTTTACTGTTGCCTTCAACTTTTCCTGGCATTATTGTATTTTGCAGCAAGTCTTGGCTTTTCATAACATGCCCATCTGCACATAGTAATTATGTACTAGTGTAGATGATTTTTGCTTTGGTCTCTAGCGACAGGTCCTCACATTTGAGGATCTTTTCTAGTTCCTTCCTTCATGCCCTTCGAAGTCTCAGTCTCCTCCTGATTTCTTGGTTGCAGTCTCTGTTTGGATTGAGGATTAGACCAAGGTATACAAAATCTTTAACAATTTAAATTTCTTCATTGCCAACCTTAAAATTGTGTGGTTCTTCTTGATTTTTCTCTTCTTTTTTCTCGTCATGATTTTTCTCTTCTTCCTGTTCAAATGCAGACCTGCTTTGACACTTTCTTCTTTCACTTTAATGACGTTTTTTCAGATCATTGCTGCTTTTTCCCAGTAAGGTGGTGTCATCTGCATATCTTGAATTATTGATTTTCTTCCACCAATTTTTACCCCTCCTTCTTCTAAATCTAGTCCAGCTTTCCATATGATATGTTCTGCATACAAATTGAACAGGAGATTAAATGCACTCTTGCCCACACCTTTGCCTATCGGAAACTGTTCTGTTTCTTTTATGTATTCTCCTAATCATAGTTTCTTGTTCAAAATACAGGTTACACATCAGAACAATCAAGTGTTGAGGCAAACACATTTCTTTTAGAACAATCCATAGCTTTTCATGGGCCATATAGTCAAAAGTTTAGCTGTAGCCTTTAAAGTGAAGACTTGTGGATTTTTTGGGTATATTCAGTAACCAATGTATGTTTGCAGCATGATTTCTATTGCCTCTTCCGTTTTGTAATTCAGCTTGAACATCAGGCATTTCTACCCATAAAGGGTAAAAATATTTGCTGCTTGAGCCTCACTATGCTTGTATGCGAAATTAATAAAATAGTCCTATAGTTACTGTGCTCCATGACATCTCCTTTCTTTGAAATTAGAATGTGTATTGAATGTTTCCAGTCTGTGGGCCATTGTTTTATCTTCCGTATTTGTTGCCATATTATTATTAGGGTTTTGAATAGAGATGGGGATAGTCATATTCATAAATGAATACAAATGTCCCCATCCCAGGTGCACCTAATGAGGGTCTGGCCCTCAGATCCAGCATGTCCACTCATGCGCCACCATGCTGCCAGCCTCCCATTCTTCTCACCAATCACAGAAGTAGCTTTGCTGTCTCACTGTTCTTCTGGCCTCTCCAGGCAGGGAGTGGGGAGGACAAATCTCTCTGCATGGCTGCTGAGTGGCCAGAAGAGCAGGGAGATGGCGGGACTACTTCTGTGATTGGTGAGGAGTGGGAGGCTGGCAGTGCAGTGGTTCATGAGTGGACAGGCTGGCTGCAAGGGTCAAATACAGTGGTGCCTCGCTTAACGAGCGCACCGTACAACGAAGAATCCGTATAGCGATCCCTTTTTGGGGATCGCTATACGGAGCTGCCCCAATCGCTGCACTCGCTTTGCGACGATTGGGGCGTCTGGCGGCCATTAAAATGGCTGCGGACGACCCGAAATGCCCCCCCGCAGCGTTTTCGCGACGTCGGTAAGCAAGGGGAGGGTGCGAAAACACTGATGGGGGCCATTTCGGGTCATCCGGCGGCCA